TGACTCGCCCTAATCCGTCTATAGCGTGGCAGCAATACAGCCTGAGGCTTATTGTACCACCATTTGAAGATCCTACTACTTTTCCCATTCATTAATATACTCCCTTCCCTTATTCACCGTCATTCCTTCCAGGCCATCGATGGTAAAAGGCTAGTCCCATAGTAATACTGTTATGTGAGGCATTTCATTATTCAGTCATGCTCTAATCCTAAAAATCCCTCTCTGTCTTATTTGGCCTTTGAGGCTCAACTTGTCCGAATATCATACATAATTAAAACCCTTAAGACCAAACATATGTGACGGCTATGGCGGAGGCACTTTCGCTAACATTCCTGAGTCAACGTGATAATGTTTCTCGTATATTCCGGATATGAGATGTTTTGGTGGAGGAGCACTTTGTATATAAATACTGGTGGAAGATCAACAAAAATCATTAGTAGATAGACAGTGGTGAATATAAATAGTAAACGATTCAAAGACATTGGAAATATATATAAATTAAAATAGTGTTATAAAATAAATAAGTGTTTAAATAAATTATTAATAAATAAACTATTGTTTTAAAATAAACAAACATCACAATACGAACTGGTTAATTCATAAAACGTTCTACCCACCGTTTCTATTACTATTCTACCAACTGCAAAAAACAATATAGGCGTGCATTTTTTCAATATGATAATTAGTTTTTTTATGATTTAGCATTTAATTTATTAGGTAAAAAGGGCGAGAAAATTGGTTACGATCGGAAAGCGGAGATATAACAATTTTTGAAAATTAGAAAATGAACACTCCAATTATGGAATCCGTCCTCACAACACCAAGGTCAAAATAAAACCAAAGAAAAATTGAAAAAGCTTGAATGAAAAATCCTGCTCCAGCCAGAGATCGATCCTGGATCCTCTAATTTACGGCTTGCTGACTTATCAACTAGGCCAACTTGGTTAGGTGGAATGACCGAATTAAAAATTTAAAGATATCAGATCCCGAATCTAACAAATTATTCACGATTCTATGGATAAAGTATAGCCGTTGCAAAAGCTGTCACAGTTATCAAAAATTTCAGTCTGACAATTCCTTACAAATATAGGAATAACTAATATTACTAATATGCATTTAATTTGGTTATAGGTACATAATTATTTTCTATAACATCTGTAATACAATGCTATTCATTTCAAATTCTTTTAAAACAAAAATTAACTAAAATCTCATATACTAGGTAATTATATTCTTATAACATATAATTTCATTAATTACATGTTTTTAGTAAAAAAGTAAAATAAATGAATTCACAACAAAGACAATTTTGAAAATTACAATTAATTACAGATGAATACTTAAATATTAAAAAATGTAAATTAGCATATTACTTATAAGTCATATCATTTGCAAAAAACTCAAGACAATCAATCTTATTTATTTAAATGTTTTTTTTTTATTAAAATGAAATTAATTCATTAAAGTGACCAAATTTTCAATGGAACCGGTATTTCCCATTTTCGTTCGTTAAAACAGTAGAGATTTATTGGTCGTGGTCTAAAGTTTAAGCAGTATTAAGAGCGAATTAAATAGAGTGTCTCCTTACTTGTGCATAAATACCTGTATGTGCTTGAGGTTAACTTTATTTAGCGGCTTCTAACATTTCATCCATTTTTACGTAGGTCGTTCTTAAATACTACTTGACCAAAAAACTTTAATTCCAATAACTCTCTAATATTAATAGTGCCAATCCTACGTTATACATAAAAAATGTCAACCATCATACTATAACGTAGGCCTGGCAATAGCTGGCTTTTAGTCTGTAACTAATATGTTCCATAAATGTAAATTGACTATCAAAAATGTAATCATCCCAAAATTTTTAATCATCTTACATCGTGACAAAGGGATGTTATTAAAAGTGTAGTCAAAGTCTAATATTGTTTCTCATGCATGTATAAATTTTAAATTTAGTGATATTCATAAATAATCTTTTCCGAGCTCACCATTTTTCAAGAGTGTTTAGTTGAGGTTGGATAAATTCACAGACTTCAATTTATATCATGCAAACTTTTAAATCATATGCGAAGAGCTACTTTTCACCATTTATTTCTATTTGCAAATCATTTATAGATGCTATAAATAAAAACGGACCTAAATTGGATCCTTGCGGAACCCCAGAGGTTACCCAATATTTTTTCTAGTTAAATCCATTATGAAAACATAGCTTCTCCTGTTCTAAAAGGTATAAATCAGTGGCGTCGTCAGAAATTTGCCATAGGAGGGCTTTAATCGACAAAGTCAAATATTTCAGTTAACATTATTTTTATTACAAAAAATCTGATGTGTCCAACACATCACTTTCCTATATAGTTATTATAGGCTTTTTCCGGTTATTTTGCAGCACCTCTATAAATGTTTAGAGGATAAACTAAATATATACATTTTCCACATACATCTACCTCAAAACATTTTTCTATGGATATTCATTGAAAACGAAAATACCGAAAAAATTTAATTTAGCACTTTTCCTACAATTTTTCCATTACGGTCCATTTTAGAAAAATCATGTATAACCAAAAATTATAGAGATCGATATCGCAAACAACTTTTAGTTCAACAATTTTCATAAAAATCAGAAGTTTGCACATTTTGTCAAATTGCTCGAATACGGACCATTTCAGGAAATTTTGACATAAAGCAAAAATTATAGATAATAATATTAGAAGTAACTTTTATTTCAACAATTTTCTTCTCCAAACATAAATAACAGATATATTCCATAAAATATAAAAACGGTCTCCTATAAAGTGGGATCCGGACAGTTTTTCGAATGATAATTATTCGAACGACAGTTCTTCGAACAACATTTATTCGAATGGACAGTTATTTGAAAAGACAATTCTTCGAACTGATAATTTTTCGAATGTACGATTCTTCGAATAGACAATTTTTCGAAATAAGTTGGTTTTATTTTATATAATTTAATTTTGACATTTTGACATTGTATTCAGTCTGATTTTAGTGTTTATAAAGATGCCTCTCGAATTCCGTTTTAATGAAAAAGGAAAAAAAAAGTTATTTTTGAACGGATTTTTATTCGTTAAAGACAAAGCCGTTGATGAAAAAACATATTGGAAGTGCGAGTTCTTTTTGTCTAAGAAATGTAAATCGCGAGCAATTACAAGCCATGATGATGTTTGCAAAGAGACTTCTCACAACCACCCCGCGGATGCAGCAGAAGTAGATGCCATACGTTTTAAGAATAAACTGAAGGACAATGCTCGGACAACAAGAAACACTCCACACTACCTAGTATCAAGTGAAGTGGACAAACTAACAGCAGCCAAACTAAGTAAAGTAAATAGTTTAAAGCGAACAATACGCAGGGAAAGAGTGAAAGAAAACATGGAACCCACACAGCCGAAAAGTCTAGAAGAGTTGTATCTACCTGATTCTTTTAAAACCACCACAAAAGGCGAACCATTTCTACTTTTCGATTCTGGAAACATTAAACAAAGAATTCAGATTTTCAGCACGAAAGACAACCTGGATTATCTACAAAAAGCTGAATACATATACATGGATGGAACTTTTAAGACTGCTCCTATGCTTTTTTACCAGCTCTACACCATACATACATTTATAAACGAGGAATCCGTACCACTGGTATACGCACTTCTACCTGATAAATCAAAAGACACTTACATAAAGTTAATTTCGGCCCTTAAAGATCTAGCACCAGCTCTCAGACCGCAATCGGTTCTAATAGATTTTGAAGCAGCGATGATAGGAGCGATACATCAAGAATTTCCGAATGCAACTGTACAAGGATGTTTCTTCCACTTTTCACAGGCAATTTACAGAAAAATTCAAACAGCTGGCTTTAAACAGCGATATGACACCGACAAAAACTTTGCACAGCACATGAAGATTTTAGCTGCATTAGCTTTCGTACCTACAAAATACATACAGCCATTTTTTAATGCATTAAGCGATGATTTTCCAGAAGAAGCTACCGAGGTTCTGGACTACTTTGAGGAAACATGGATTGGGATGATTCGTCGCGGTCGTCGAAGGTCACCGTTGTTTGATTAGGAAATGTGGAACTGTGTTAATAATGTTTTAAACAGTCAACCCAAGACTAACAACCACATTGAAGGTTGGCATCTTGCCTTCGAAAGCCAACTTTCGGCTAGCCATCCCACAATATGGAAGTTTATTACGGCATTTCAACGCGAACAATCCTTAAATGAAATGAGAATTTCTCAATTTTACTGTGGAACTCCCGCTGTGCCGAAGAAAACGAAGTACTTACAATTAAATATTAGATTACAAAATATCATCACTCAGTTTTCTCCTAAAGACCCTATAGAATACTTAAATCGTATAGCTTGTAATTTGTCTTATAAATAAGTTCCTCGTTTCTTTTGTTATATAGTGTATTATAAATAAGTCATGTATTAAAAAGAATTAATTGGAATAAAATCATTATTTTTATACAAAACGCTTTTTATTTTTGACGTTTTGGTGTCGCACCTGTGTCAGGTTATCAAAAAATTAAATAAAAAAAATAAATTATCTAAATTGAATTTCAGGTGCGACACCGAATGTTTTTTGTTTAAATTACCTACACTTTATCATTCCTCAATAATGTATTTTCGAAAAATGGTCTGTTCGAACAATGGGCCCTTCGAAAAACTGGCCGTTCGAAGAACCATCCGTTCGAATAAATGTCCATTAGAAAAACTGTCCTTCGAAAAACTGTCGTTCGAAAAATTGTCATTCTAAAAACAGTCCTAGATCCGTATCTTTTGTATCACCTCAATGTACTCACATTGTATGAAAGAGGTCAATAAACCAAATTTGATAAAATAACTGGTTACTTCTGTTCAAAAAAGTTGTGATAGCGTCACATGGACACCGTATTGACATCATAGTAAAGATTATAGTGTCAAAAGAAGCTGCTTTATAAATTAACTTGTATTATGTTATTCTTTTTTAAACTATACACAGGGCTAATATTGATTAAGTTCCCATTCCATTGGTTCCATGCAAATATTTTTCTCATGAAATTTTGTCCGTTTTTATAACGACCCTGAATTTTAATTTTCAACTATAAGTATTTACATTTAACGGAAATAGTTGTCCACTCGAAGTTTGAGTCTAAACCAAGTTCAACTTTTAGTGTGCGGCATCTAATTAGTCTTGATATACATAGTAGTGCTATAAGAGCTTAGTTATATATCGATAAAAAGTTCAAAACTGATAAAAAAAATGTTTGTTAATTTCATATTTATTTTCGTCTTACAAGTAGTTGTAAGATGTTCTGAGATCGATATTTTTCCTAGAATGCCTATCACTGTTGAAAAAAGTGAAAATGTTGTATGTTCGGAAGAAAGTAAACAGTATTTGGATAATTTGAACAATTTTACATTATGGGCACATGAAAGTAAGTCAGATCAATTGAATTTTAGTTTTAAAAGAAATCTAAATATTTTTCTACATACCTTGTATATAAAACACAAATGTTATAATATTTTTAATGTTTATCAAAGGTAATCAACATCTTTTTAGAAGGAAAATAAGGTCCATAAATGTATGGAATATATTTATTTTTAGCGTTTTTATGTAATTTTGGGAAAAAAACCTGAAACAATTCAATTTATAGTCCTAATTTAACAATTTTTACTATAGGAATGCTACCCTCCTTTTTGAATCCCCTTTGAAATATAAGAACCTCCTCGAAAATTTTAAAAACGGAAAGGAATCGTGTTTAAAAGGAATTTTAAATCTCTCTCCAGCAATATAAAGTTTTTTTTTTTAATTTGGCGCAATCATAAGTGAGTAAATTAATTTTGAAAATGTAAAATTTTAATAAGGTCTCCATCACAAAACTTTAAAAAATACACTCTAGATATTATGTATTATTATTTGCTTTATCCTACGTAAAGTTTTGTGATGGAGACATCATAATTTTACTTTCTTAAAATTAATTTTAAATTGCTGAGGAGAGAATTAAAATCCCTTTTAAAAAAGGTGCCACATAAACCCCTTTCCAAATTCAGAGGGATTGCCAGAGGGCGGTAATATTTCCATACCATAAATTGTCAAATTCATAATAACGCTAAAAATTAATTTATTCCACCGCTCTATATGATACATTTCTGTATTATGCTTCTAACAATAAGTCTAAAAATTACGTATGGCGAAGTATTTCCAATGAGCTACTATATTAAATTTAATATAAATATTTGTCATGAAATCTTGGTACATACATTGTCAAACACATTATAACCTTTTACCATATGGAATGTCACAAACATAAAAAAAATTTAAACTAAGTAAAATAGTTATTTATTATACAAGGGAAAACATTATTAGATTTAGAAATCAAATATTTTTCCCGCATATCTCCTTTACTTATGTGTATGTATATCCGGGAAAAAAGTACTCACTTTTTCCCGAAGAAACACTTTTTTCCGGGAAAAAAGTAATTTCATAAAAAGTGACATTTTGTTACCTTACAAGAGAGATAAAATGTCAAACATTTTTCCCGCCACAGAAAAAAAATTACTTTTTATACATTATTATGAGTTTATAAAAATACTAGGGTAGGGTAGGTATATCTCGTATCACATCGATATTTTAAGATGTACCTACGCAATATTTGTATATAATTATATAATTATTTTATTTTATAAATATTTGAAACATCCTGTTTATTTATGGTTCTTACAGCTTATGTTTGAATTTTTGTTTTAATATTCTTGGAATGTAGACGTTTTTAATTTTAAATATTTCAATTTTAAATTTTGTTTATTTTAGTTTAAGACAATTATATGTGGATCGTTTCTTAAAAACGAAGGCCAATAATGTGAAGAAATTTTGCGTGGTTTAGCCTAAGTAACACTAATGCTTCACAAACCTGAAAATTTTCCGTTTTTATCTTAACAATTCATTGACTATGAAGGCTTGTTGGAATGTTGTATAAGAAATTACGAATAGGCAAAGTTCTGTCCAAACTATTGTCATAGAAGAGGACGGAATGTTATTGGATGATCCACAGCTGCAGAGTTTAATAGTTTTTTAAATATGCTCCTGGTCATTTGGTCAACAAAATAATAAAGTCTACTACTAACATTGAAGGAATCATATCAAATCTTTCTTACTTACTCAATTTTCGCACACATAATTATTAAATTCAATACTTACGAAATTTAAAAACAAAAGATCTTCTGTAGCCGATGACGTGCCATGTTTTGTATTAAAACAAGTATTAGATGTTCTCTCTGAACTTTTAACATATTTGGTAAATTTATCATTTGAGATCGACAGGTTTCATCAAGATTTAACACTGGGGATAATTTTACCATGGCACAAGAAAAATGATCGTAGACAAATAGAAAACTATAGACATGTTGCTATTCACTGTGGTCTGTCTAAAATTTTTAAATACGCCTTTCTTGATCGTCTTCTGTCTTTCCTGAAAAGGTACAACATTATAACAGGAAATCAGCTGAAAAATCAACAACTGCAATGCTTTCATTTTACAATGAAGTTATTAACCATTCAGAGGAATCTGAATGCCCAGCTGCTATCTTTTGTGATCTCAGTAAAGTATTCGATTGTCTAAGCCATGCGTTGCTATTAAATATATTGGAGAGAAATGGAATCAGAGGCACTGTTTTAAATTGGATCTCAACCTTTTTACTAGCCAAGAAGCAATATATTACTTTAAATGTACAAGACAACAAAAAATCAATAATATTATTTATAATCCACTAGATATTATTATGGAAGTTCCTCAGGGTTCAATTTTGGGATTCATATTATTCATACTGTATGTGAACAATGTTGTCTCATTAATAGGTGATAATCATTATGTAAGCTATGCAGATAGGGTTACCAGATTTAAAAATACAAATTACTCACATTCCTAATAAAAATTCCGGACATTTCTTTATAAATAAATAAATAATAAAACTTCAACATATGAAAATTACAAAACGTTGTATTTAAAAAAGTGCCTACTGTCAAAACTAAAAACAAAAAGAGTTTAATTAAAAATTCGTGAAATTAAATACACAAATACAACTACAACACTGTCTATTAAAAAAATATTTAAATAAAAAATAAATTATGAAAAAATAAAAGAAAAGTTAGCTTCAACGGCCAAAAGAACTCTTTACAATAATAATAATACTTCACAAGTTCCAACGAATGTGATATGGTTCCAGCAGGATGGAGCATTACTGTATTAGCAAAACAATGTCCGGTAATACCTCGACCAAATATTTCCAAATCGGTGGATAAGGAGGCTAGGATCGATAGAATGGCCAGCACGATCACCTGATCTTGCGCCACTAGACTTTTTGTTATGGGGAATATGTGAATTATATGCTACAGAAAACTAAATAGCACGATTTAGCTGAATTGAGAAGAAGAATATAGTTTACGTCGGATGTTCTAAGTATGCATTTTAAACATGCATTGTATATTAAAATTGATGTTTTTTGTTCTTTTTTGTTATTTTTTGTGATCGAGAACGAAAAACTATTAGTAATTAATTGATTTTTTTACTATTAATTTTTGCATTAAATTTGAAAACTACAGCATTTTTGAATAGAGAATGAAGATACCTTTCAAATGAGGTATCACAAGCCGCTACTTACTATTTACAAATTTGGGGATGCTTCTTTCACCGTTCTCATTTTATCTAAAAATGTGGCTTAGCTCAATTCATCATCAATACGTTATTTCGCTCTGCCAGCCCATATGCTTAGTTCTTCCATGCAATCCCATTAAACCACATTATTTATTTTGATTTCTAAATTTTAACTAATTATTTTTAGAATTTTTTGTTTTTTCGGTATAAAATATGAAGAGCAGTTTTCTAAAAATTTTGGAAAATTATTAAATTCATTCAGATTCATTATTTCTCTAAATTAGACAATTATTTTTTTTTTATTTTAAGGAAGAATAATAAATACAAAGTAGTATTCATGTTCAGAAAAAATAATAGAATTTATAACATAAGCAATTAAAAAATATGCAAAAAATGGTAATTATAAGCTAATTCACGCAAATATTGTATTATCCTATCTTTGTTGTTATAATTGTTAATTACACTTGATGTTCATCTGCCTATTTTTTTTAATTCTGTGGAGGTTAGTTTCCTGTAACTAAATAATTGTTCAAAATATATAGATAACATGATTCTTTTTAAAATTTACGCAATTCATCTTTATTGTTATTTCATATGTTGAACGCACAAAGTAAAAAAAAAAACGTTCTGAAAAATTTCAGAAGATTTATTTCAATAATAAAGAGATATTTTAATTTTTTTCTAACATTTAAAAACATAATATGTTGATTGCCTCTTATCCTTTTATATTTTGCCTTTTGCCTTTATATCATTTAGGTGTCAGATCCCTTCTCTGCCTTTCTTTTTGTTTTCACTTTTACCCGGTTTTCTTTTAATTCCATCTCTTTTTTTACGGGTTTCTTCAAAAACTACATTTTTGATATGGTAATCCACATCTTTTGTTTTAATTCTCACTTGCATACGTTAGATTGAATTTCTTTATTTAATCCTTCGTTTAACCGACTTCAAAAAAAGGACGAGGTTCTCAATTCGTCTGAATATTTTTTATTGTATGTTCAGCGATTATTCTTTACCACGTTGTCCGATTTCTATTCTTTTTTATGCTAGAAAAGGGGGCACCTCAAGGGTGGTTTCATATAAATTTGGTCAAGATCTGATAATGGCATTCATAGGAAAATAATAAATTTCTTAATTTTTTATGTATATTCAGCGATAATTCTTTACCACGTTGTTCGATTTCTTTGATTCCTTTTGTTAGAAAGGGGGTACCTCAGGGATTGTTCTATATACAGGATCTTTTCAAAGTTGAGTCATTTATTTTAACAGCTTGTAGAACTCGTTAAAATAAGTCGATATACCAAAAATCACCTAAATAAAAGTTGCATATTAAAAGAAATAAAAAAGAATTTCAAAATTTTAACACTAAAACAAATACAAACTATTTATCCGCATATTTTAATATTCCTGACCACTGCGAAGTTTACTACGACAATTTTACTTATCTAGGTATGGCTATTTTTTGTTTGTTTTCTTCGGTTTTGAGAACGATTTTCGGTTAGTTATTGGTATCAAGCGTTTAGTTCGTATCACTTTAATTTTTTTGATATTTTTTACGGAAAAATGGCCCACGTTTATGGAAACAATGAACTAGTGGACATAATACTAACATACGGAGAGTGCCAACAAAATGCAGCCGCAGCATGTCGCCTTTACGCGGAAAGGTTTCCATTAAGAAATCATCCGGCTCCACGGATGTTTGTATATTTAGTTATTCGAATTCGTGAGACAGGTTACTTGAAAAAACAACGATGGGGGTCACGCTGGAAGACCTGCTCCACCTGAAATGGTAGAAATTGAGGAAAATATTTTTGAAATGTTGGAAGATGACCCAACAATAAGTACCAGAGCCATAGCAACTCAAGTCCATGTTCCCCATAGTAAAGTATGGAAAACAATACAACAGGAACAATATTATCCTTATCATTATCAACGAGTACAAGCATTACAACCTAAAGATCATCCTAGAAGAGTTGAATTTTGCCAGTGGTTCTTACAACAGTTGAACGACATAAATGAAAATTTTACGAAAATAATTTTAGCTACAGACGAGTCCACATTTACACGAAACGGCATATTCAATTTTCACAACAATCATGTTTGGACAGTACAAAATCAGCATGCCGTAAGAAGATCTAATTTCCAACATATATTTTCATTAAATGTTTGGACTGGTGTAGCAAATGGCATGCTTATTGGACCATACTTTTTTCCACCTCGGCTAACCGGTGACATTTATTTAGATTTTCTTCGACACCATCTGCCAGAATTATTAGAAGATGTTCCACTGAATGTTAGGCAGGATATGTGGTTTCTACATGACGAAGCTCCACCGCATTTCAGAAGAGGAGTTGGTGAATATTTAAATGCACAGTTTCCGAATAGATGGATAGGGAGGAATGGACCCGTTTCTTGGCCTGCACGCTCCCTGGACCTAATGCCTTGTGATTTTTTTCTGTGGGGTTATTTAAAACAGTTGGTGTATCATGATGGAGAAGTAAATACTGTGGAAGAACTTCAAGAGCGCATTATAAATGTTTGTGATGTTATTCATGGACATCCGGATTTTATTTTTGAGGCCTGTCAGGAGTCGTGGGTACGCCGAGCAAGACTATGCATTAATCGGACAAATGGTGACAATTTTGAACAATTTTTGTAAAAATGGAATACATTTTACTGATAATGAATGTTTTTAATTTAAGAAAAACCTATAACTCCCTTATTATGCAACTTTTATTTAGGTGATTTTTGGTATATCGACTTCTTTTGACGAGTTCTACAAGCTGTTAAAATAAATGACTAAACTGAAAACACCCTGTATATTTGGTCAACCTCTGATGAGAAAATCAGAAAACTTAATATGCAATGGTATCTGTACGATTTTGGGGTCGGTTTTTTACTTTTATTTTGTGTATGTTCAGCGATAATTATTATTTAGTGTACGATTTCTATTATTCTTTTTTTGTGTTAGAAAGAGGAGGTCCCATATACATATGGTCTAGATCTGATAACTTGTAGCCCAGGCATAGCAGTACTTTTACCTTGCATATTCTGCGGTAGAGGCTTTTAAGGGAGATTCCTATGTAATGTCATGGGAATTCCTAAGCCGTCTCTGTCTAAGAAAACGAACTTCAAGTCTGTGCCACCCGACTCATGCTCGAAACGACGGAATCTTCTAGGTATGCCGCTGGCGCCTCGAGAAACTGCTAGAACGGGCAGTGCGTGCCGTTGAGTCACAGATGGAATTTTCGGGAGCGTCTAGAGACTTATTGTAGCAGAGCTGGACTTGGTATAAATAGCCCGACTTATCGGCGGACGGTTAGTTGAGAATAAAGTGTTGGACAGAAAAGTTAAACTGTAATAAATAAATTAGAATTGTGAGTTAGTGCCTAAGTATTATATAAATTAATTAGTACGTCTAAATAAATTGTAAATAGTGTGTTTTAAATAAATAAACTATAAATAAATTAAACTATCATCACAGTAATTTTAAGCGCTGAGTTCGAGTTTGCAACTTCCCACCAAAATTTCACTTGGTAATGTTGCTATTTTTACAAAAAAGGCATTTTTCGCGCCCAAATTTGGTATTTTGCTCGTTCCATGCACTTAGTCAAAAAGTGGTTATTTTCAAAATTGTAGAGTACAAATTTTCACAAAAGGAATCATGCATCCCTTTGTGAAGTTTTCTGCTCTATAATTTTGAAAATAATCAAAGCGTCAGTAAAATACATTGGAAACGAGTAATAAAGCAAAATAACACCTTTAAACACAAAAAATTAGATTTTTGTAAAAATGGCAACGTTGCCGAGCTAACATTTTGATGGCAACTTTCAAATTCGAATTCAGCGGTAAAAATTACATAGGAATCACCCATAAAAGCTTCTACCGCAGAATTTGCAAGGTACCTAAGTTTATTGTGACCCCAATGCCTGGACTATTGTTTCATAGGATTTTTTTTTGTTGGTTACAGGTGTTATTGGTATTATATTATTTAAACAATTATCGGTCAATATCAAAACACTACATTTGTTAACGTGAAGAGTAGATATAGAAGATAGCTGCTTTACGTATGAGAGTCTTCCCACAATAATACCAGCGATGATCTCATACTTTATTTCAGCAAAATCGAAGATGTTATAAGATCTTTTGTTGTTGTACTTAAGTGATTTTATGTGACAAGTGAGATGGGATATAAGAATAGGACACAGAACAACTGAAGATTCTCTGATCAACAAGGCTGATCAGATGCGTTTTTTCCAATTATATCCCTTTTTATTATGATTACTTTATATTACCTTTAATAATATTATTTAGTAAATTTGTATTTTTTTTTAAGTGCGAGATGCTTCAGCCCCGTCAGCAATCAGTGTATTAAGGGGAAGTGGATTTAATCTAGGAAATCTAGAACAATGCTTAACTGCAAATGCTCCATTTCCAACACAATACTGTCTTGCAGTAATTGTGGCAAATATTCCAAAAACTAAATCGCCGCGCGATATTTATTCTTTAGAATTCGATCCGAATGAAAATATTATTAACAAACTTTATGTAAGTAAACAATATACATAATCAAAAGTTAGGTTAGGTGTTAAATTAGTTGGACATAACTTTGTTATGGTGAAAAAGTAAATAGGACTAAATTTCATCTATACTTCCAAAAAATATCAAACTACTTGAATTTTTTCTTAGTGTGTACCTATTATACTTAACTAAAAACTATCATTTTAGGTTTATGAAGATGAAACAAAAGCACCTCGAAATGTAGTGAGAATGGGTTGGTGTATTCCAGCATCATGTTCTCCAAATGATGCACAAAATAGTCTAAATAATTACTTGCAAAGATACGACCATCCGTTGAAAAAAGAAAATGTGTCTTTCTCGGCAACAGTTCCTCAAATTCTCTGTCAATCATCAAATAAAGTTCCAGAGTTGGATTTAGTTGATATAAGCTTTTGGTAAGTTTTTTAAAAACAGATTAATCGGTTGAAATTATTAGAATGGGTAAAATCCTCTAGAATACATGAATATAATTTTTAAATAACATTAGATAGGTGCTATTCATTGAAAGCATGTTTCAAAAAAAAATATGTATATAATTTGGCAATTTGAATGAATATGGCGAGACTGTTAGGTGGTAAGGCACTTTTACGTACCTACAGTTAATAGTCAAATTATTAGATTAGAGATTTTACACAAGTTGACTGCTCATTCCTGTATACCTACATATTATTACATTTTTTTGTAGTATACTCACAATAACGCTCCTGTTACTAGTCGTACTTGCAACTATTTTGGACTACAATGGCTACCAGAACACAGAGAAAAGTTAGTATTATTTGATTATATTACATTTTTTTTATGTACTCTTGCTCAAACTAAAAATATATATTGAATGTAGGTATATAAGAAAATTATTTTATTTATTTATGTACAGGGTATTAGGGATAACACCCGCATAATTTTATTAAGTGATTAACATTAAGTAGCAATGAAGCACACAGTCTTATTTAATTTTGTCCTAAAATCAACCAATTTTTTCTTACCGTCATATAAACAAAAGTCTTCTATAACTCGTAAAATATAAAATTAAGTAAGATAAATTAAAAAAAAATGATGCTTGATACATAAATAACAAATTTATCAATGCGCATAAAAGATAGTTTCTTATGCACTTTCCTACTAAATTCAGTATGTTGTTTGCACAGGTTGTTTACAATTATTTTACATTTTTAATAATTATTTCGGAATTTGTACATATGTAAATTTTAAATATGTTTTTGTACTTTTTATTGACTTTTTACGCATAAGTGTAACCATAATAGTTAAAATTTGTGTTTGATTTTTTTTTATTTTGACATAAAATGATTTTTTTTGTAATTACAGCAAGTTTTTTTTTTTGAAAAACATTCCATTAGGGGCGTTTATTAATATTTCAATCTGATTTAAAGTTGATCAATGAGTAATTTTGTTCTAACCTAACTTAACTAAGGTTGCAATCTTAAAAACTAAAGTTCCACTCGTTAGTACATAGTAAGGTCTAATGATAACTTAATTAAACTAAACTAACGTGTAACACTGAACCGCACGTTGCTTTGCTTTGTTATTAACACAATCACTTGGCTAACTCGAAAGGTTTCACTTTCTTGAGTTTTCTTATGAGGTTCGTGTTTTCAAGAAGCTGGATCGCCTCATCGTTCACATGTTGGTGGACCCGTTGTTCGTGACTCCTTTCGAATCTGGTGATAGGCTGATCAACAGTGGAGGTTGCTGTTTCTAATGTACCAAGGAGCATCGACAATGTTCCGCAATACTTTGTTCTGGAATCTCTGGATTATTAGAATATTACTGTTGCTAGCACAACCCCAGATCTAAATGTCAAAGGTCCAAATTAGTTTGAGGTCTTGTTTATATAAAAGTATTTTGTTGTATGTAGATAGGTTAGAAAGCCTACCAAGTAACAAGTATATTTTCTTGAATTTTATATCCTACTTCTTCTTTCCTTTTTAACATGGGCCTTCCAGCGAAGACTTGCATCTAATGTAATAACTAGATATTTTTCTGAGTTAGCATAAGGGATCTGGGCATTATTTTTGTTGATTGGTATTAACTAATTTTGTTAGTAAAATTAATATCAACAGATTTGATTCCTTTTAGTTTTATTCACCATCTTTTGGTCTAGTTATTTATTTGATCGACTGATTTTTGTAGTTCATTTGCAACCTCTTCATGATCTTTGGTTATCGCTAGGATGGTAGAATCATCTGCAAATGTGGCTATTGTGTCTTAATCTAGTTGTATAACAAATTGTATAACAAATATAGAGTGGGTTCCAGGACGCCTCTCTGTGGTATTCCTGCTTTAATTTCTTTCAATTCAGAGTATGATTCATCTTGTTTTACTCTAAATAATCTATCTAAAATGTATGAATGCAGTAGCTCTAATTATGGCTGTGGAAGTAGCCATTCAGTTAATGTTTTAAGCCATCATGTTATACTTATCAAAAGTCTGTGCAACATCAATGAAGATGGTTGAACAGACTTTATTTTTTAATGCTTCTTCAATCGCATTTAAGATTCTATAGTTGAATGGTTTTTTCTAAAGCCGAACTGATAATCTGGAATTAGTTTCCATTCTTCAATGATGGGTTTCAGTCTTTTCATTAGCATTTTTTCAAATAGTTTCGATTATATAGGCAATAGAGATATTGGTTTATATGACAAAACTTCGTATGATTTTTCTGGTTTGGGGGTCATAATGACTTCAGCTACTTTCTACAACCTTAGGAACATGAGGCATTAAACAAGCGTGTAAGTTAAATTATGACTTTCTTTGAAAGTTGTGTTAACATTTCTTCTGGAATTAAATTTTAGGATCAATATAAAATGTTTTTATATCTTTTGCAATTTCCTTTGGAGAGGTTGGTATGAGTCATCTCTACTAGTTCGGTAATTCTTCTCCTTTATTTGGTTAGAAGGTATTTTGTAAGTGCTCTGCGAATCTATTAACTTTTTGTATGTTATTTCTAGCCCAGCTGCTATCTGTATTTCTGATTGGAGCATTCTGCACAGTGAGCCTTTTCAATCGCGTTGTGGCTTTCCATAGAGAAAGGTCAGTGGATTTATCGTTTGTCAACTCACTAAGGCACTCACTAATATATTCATTTTTTATTCGTTTTACCTCTCTTTTTAACTGCTGGTGACGTTTTTAAGGTTGATTTTATCTGTTGGAGCTCTGCTCTGAAGTTATTTCCTCCTTAGTTTTATTTTTGCAGATATTAGGTACCTTATTTCTTTAGGATAGTTATTCCTGTTTTTCGCTGAGCAATAGGTGGTGTATTATTTCATGCTGGACACAAGTAGTTCTACTTCTTCATCTAGCTGTGCTGTTGTTCTTAATGAAACTGAAAGATTAATTTTCTTTTTAAGGTCCAGTCTTTGTCAGTGTGTTCTCCTGTTTATTAGCCTAAGAGTGCTTTTCTTTTGGATAATGGTGTCACTAAGAGTGAGAAGAATGGACGAATAATCTGAATTCATATCCCATGCCTCATCAACTTGGATATAGTTTGCTAAAGTCGGGTATTTTATTTCTATCTGTGGGCCAATAAGTTGGTTTTCCAGTTGAATAAGACTCACATTTTAGCTGTGTCATAGCTTCTTTTTGGTTTTTACCATTGTTACTGTTATTTTGTAGCCCCAATGGGTGTGTTTTACAATGAAGTCACCTCCAATGATAAATCTAGGTCCGTGACTATTGAGGAAGTCTAGGTATTGTTCTTTTGTAACAGTATGTCTTGGCGGACAATATGTGGAAGTGACCATAACATCATAAGTTTTAGATTTTATCATTACTGAAGTAGTTTGAAATTCTTCAGTCCTGTATCTCTCTTCTTGATGATGCTTAATTGCTTCTCTAATCATTACTGCGCTACCCTCTCTTGCTGCATTTTAGGGATGAATGGTATGATAAACTTCATATTCCTTAAATTATATTAAGGTAAATTGGTAAAGTGAGTCTCTAAAATTAAGCATATGTCTAGGTTTTCTATGTCTAGGATTGCTTGCAACTATTGTTATTGGTGCAGCAGTCCATTGCCATTCCATTCCATTATCAATGGACTATTACTCATTATATTGTCTTTTAGGTATAACTTTTTTGGTACTATATTCTAACCTAGTAATTCGTTCATTCATTATGATCAGTATTGGTAATGAATGAATCTTTATTGTTATCTATTTTATCTGCCCTTTTACCTTCTGGGTGAATGATCTAAATTTGTCTATTAGATTGTTTCTATTAACAGGATTTTTTGCTATTATTTTCTGCATTTTCTTGGCTACTTCACATCCTTTGTAGCTAGCAGGATGTCTTTTGCCGCAGTGGAGCATCTTTCGGTTTTACACAATTTCCAGTTAAATGTTTCTCTGTGCTTAGTTGGTAGTGCCTTAATTTTTACATTTTTTTCTATTGTAGTGTTGTTATTTTGTTGTTGTTGTTGATTTTGTTGTTGTTGTTGCTATTGCTATTGTGGTTATTATCGTCGTTGTCGTCGTCTCTTTCGCCAGATCTTATTTATCAGTAAAGTATTCAGTGGGCTTAATTGCATTGTTTATTTTGCTAGCCATACTTTATTATGTTCTAATCTTATATGTAACACGCTATGAAATGACGTTGGATAATAAAACAAAAAAACATCCAATTACGTACAAATAACTAAAAAATTATTTATTAAAAAGAAATGTTATTATATTAAATCTAATTTAAATTAGGCGAGCAACAAAGCTGTCAAATTTTCCTCTCGGCGAGCGATAAAGCTGTCATTAAATGTCAGTTCGCAGAAAACGTCAACTTTACGGTTGTATTTCGAAGCGCAGAAGCCTACTTTGGGTAGCGATCTTAGAAAAAATTATTTATGAGAAATCTGCATTTCTTAGGGTTATTGAATATTTATAAATTTCATTAAATGACTTTTTTTTTTAAATCTACATTCTTGGTTAAATTATTTGATATAAGAAATTGTCTTTGTGGATAGTGAGCTTTACTAAACATTAAAGAGAGTATTATACTTAAATTTTGACTGAGTTTTGGCATTAAACTCACTATTTATTTATATATTTTAGAACTTTCCTCAACAACACTACTTCTAGCCTTCTCGGCAATAAAAAATTTTAGAGGATTATCAAAGGCTGATGAGTCTGAGAAACCACTGAAAATATTTTACGGAATGAAGACGATTTCTTTGTTTATGGTGATTGCAGGTCACCGATTTGCTCTGTTTGCTGGTTCACCCATGATAACTTATGATTCCATTGAAGAGGTAAGAATTTTATTTTCACTAAAAGTATCAATAAAAGTAAATATTGTCTATATCGTTTTTGAAAATGGACAATCGCTGTCACTCGTGAAGCATTCATTCCAAATAAAGTAAGTTTATTGTGTTCCACGGAGGAATAGATGAATCAACCACGATCCCAAAACCTTAAATACTTACTAACGAAGTTGGCATTAGCTATTAGTAGATAAGATTCAATAAGATCATTAAAGGAGTTGGACACTCTCTTTTGACTATTTAGTACTGTCAGGTCTTCTTGGTAGTCTTTCGGCAGACGTGGTTTGATTTTTAGAGCTGCTTCGCTATCAGGGTAGATAACAGCAATCGTTTTTCTTGATTGTTGGATAGTGTTGTATGACAGCAGTAATGGAAACACTAATAGGTTTGCCACAACTTCATCTTGTGATACAGGGAGAGGCAAGATTAAGTGCTAACAGATTAGAGAACCGTCTGGGAAATCTTAACATTAGACCAGGTAATATAATTATCACAATGTTGGTGACAAGGGACGTGCTAGATATGAGACCAGATCTCATAACCAAGCGTTACTCCTTTAACACTCCATTCGAGGTTTTAATTCCAAAAAGAAACGGAGAAAGGAAAAACAGTCTGCAAAAAAATATACTGTGTTGTTTCTTAGTTATGATCTTCGAAAAACAAATTGCAAAATCTCTGTTATGACATGATATCCATTGAACATAGATTTTGCAAAACTATCCAGGTGTCCCCTCTCTAGTTACTTTTTGTCCGTATACCAATATTTACATTTGTTTTTCAGCACTTCAGAACAACGGTATACTCTGCTTTATACCATGGTGATCTGTTTGTGGATACATTTTTCTTTATTGGTGGATTACTTGTAACTTATATTGTACTAGGTCTTATTGATAAGAAAATGTTCAAACCCGGATTAATAATCCTAAATAGATACTTAAGGTAAATACTTTTTATAGATTTAACAAGTTAATGTTCATATTTTCTCTCTTTCAAAAGTTCCCTAATTTGTTTTCATTCTTTCGACAGTATATAGTATAATCCGTCAAAAACAGTTAATAAAAAAACGCCAAGAACCTGTAACAGACCTTTCTTATTGCTACAAACTTTTTCCATTGGCGGGAAATTTTAATTTTTTACATAGGTATACAGTAAATAAACCTATTTTAATTTATTAAAATGGATTTTACATTTTTTCAAAGTAAGGGCAGTAATTGTTTATACATTTTCACATCATTTTTGTGATATACCCCGGTGCGTTTCCTACCATTTTGTTAAGAGTTGGTTTGCCAGTAGCCAGTTAATTAATAAATACAGAGTAGATGGTAGATTCTTAGCTTCATAATATTACGAACTGATTCAACTTGCCTTAGTAAAATAATAAAAATTAAAAAGTTTAAACCTGTTTCTGCGTTCTTTTGAATTTCACTACTTCTGTATAAATTGTTTCCAAATTTGGTTATTATTTTTGGTACGAATTATATTTTACTTATGTTTTAAAATTTAATTAGTTATAGGAGACATCATATAAACAATATGTGAGGATGAATTTAGATAATAAATTTTTAGCCAACCCACAGTTTTCGAACAAAAAAACGATAAAAAACATTTCAGAGTAATGAAAAATGTATTAAAATTAAACAAAAAAAAAAAGAAATTATTTATAAAAAAAATCTAAAAAAAAATACGTGGGCACTCGGGGACTGCCGCGGTAAAGCTATTGCATAGTATTTTTTATCAACTTATGCAATTATAATTATTTATTTATTTTATTTATGCAGTATTTTTTTTCTTTGATATTAATTCAAGTTACACTTTTTGAGCGTGGTGACCGATAAGAAAACACATTTTTTTCTTTTATTAAATAAATGAGAAGTTAATATTGTTTAAAATATTTTTATTATTTTACAATACATGTAAGTTATTCAGGAATTTTTATCATTGAAACTATAGGTTTATGGTAACTGAAATAAGAAACATAAGTTTGAGACTTGATATCCTCTAAATATCTGGCAAATACCGCGTTAATGGTGGTCCCATATTTTGTTGTGGATTCTTGTGGAACATTATTCATTTTCAAATTCAATTTTTCCGAAATTGTGTCTAAAAGAGATATAATCAGTTATGAGCAGCTAGTCTACACGCATACGTCTAGTCGCACGCATACAAACACCGTGCCGAAGTCTGCCAAACTGAAACGACGTTAGACGATGGACGGCTTTCAACGCCGCACCGCTGTGCCGGTCAGAGTGGGGGGGGGGGTTAGGTTTACTTTCGATTTTTCGATATTTCGATTTTTCAAGGGTTTATTTTCGTTACGGAATTTTTTGATTCGGTCGCCGCGCTCAAAGCCCGCGATAAAATCTATGCAATAGCTTAATAATGAAATAATTAAGACTGATAAAATAAAAATTAATATTTTATAAATCTTGCAAAAAAATTAATATCTAATATTTACGTCAGCCGTGAACATTTGTGATACCAATTTATTAGAAGCCAGAAAAAGCTCTTCTAGTTCTTGTATTGCATAAACGTTCCTGTCCCCAGACGTACATTTAACTCCGCTTCATACTAATACGAATAGGGCTGGATAAAACCTTCCACGGCTTTCAAAGCCGCACCGCTGTGCCGGTCGGAGTGGGGGGTGTTAGGTTTATTTCGTTACGGAATTTCTTGATTCGGTTGCCGCGCTCAAAGCCCGCGATAAAAGCTATGCAATGGCTTAAAAATAAAAAAAAAATTCAAAGAAGTCTAAAAAATAAAATATTTTTTAACAAAACAGACTATATTTATTACTTAGGTATTACTGTTTTTACTATTTTTTTATAGATTGACACCAAGTTATGCTTTCGTAATATTTTTTCAAGCGACTATGTTATATCACACTGGCACAGGAGCTTTATGGGAACCGATTGTGGGTCAGGAACGAAAAGATTGCAGACAAAATTGGTGGACTGGTATTCTATATATATCAAATTTGGTAAATTCGGATCATATGGTAAGTTACAAAATACATAACTTTAGGGTAGCGAAATATAAGCAATCGTTTTAAAAGACTGTACCAACAACACTGAACTAACAATAACGTACCAAGAAGACTGTAGGTAGCAACAAGGATGTACCAACAAAACTGTATTAACAAGATTGTACAAATAAGACTGTAATAACAAGAATGTACCAACAAAAATATACCAATAAAATAGTACCAACAAGAGTATACTAAGAAGTTTCTATAAAAAAGAGTGTACCAACATGAATGTACCAAGAAGACCATACAAATAAGACTACCAACAAAATTGTATCAACAATACTGTACCAACATGACTGAACCAACAAAATTTAAGAACAAGACTGTATTAAAACGCCTATGTGTCAGTTCCAAACTAAAACTACCTACCCTAACATTTTTTATATATTTCGCACATTTGGTACAACAACGTCATTAATACAAAAATATTAGAAAGTAACTTTTTAGTCACAAACTATGCGTAATATGTTTCGCATCTGGTACAGCAATGTCGTATTTCCCTGACATTTTAAACATTTTATTGCCAAGGTGGGAAACATGAAAAACAAAATGAATTATTTTTAACTAATAATAATTGGCAACGTTGTAATCATTGGTAATTTTATTATTCTATTAGGTATCTATGAGCGCGAATAACTAACAATTACAGTAGTTTAATACCAATTTGCTTCCAAATGCCTAATTAAATTAGTACAGCAGATCTACGTAAAAAACAGTTGTCGTTGGCAAGTGGTAATTTTTTCTCCTAAATTTTCGCTGCCTACGTTAAGGATTCCTTTCTGTTTACAGGGTAGATCGCGGACTGTATTTTTGATGAAATCTATGTAATAAATTGCTGGATAAACTGTCTTGGAATGTAGTAATTAAAGTGATTGCTTCTGTCAACTGGTTTATTTTAACTTTATAAACTTGGTACTTTATAACCACATTAAATTTAAGTGATACTTTTAAATACAAATTAATGTGAATATACTGGTTTAAGACATCTTTCTATGTTAGTCTAATATTAAAAATGAGATCGTTAGCGAAGAGATTAAAATTAGTTGTTGCTTGTTCGGAGGTTGAAATGGATTTCTGCGTGTGAAGTCGTATATCGTCTGCTTGTGTTAAAGTGTGTGCGTAATACTGTTGTGATTGGTGTAGAAAAAAATGTATGTTCGACACTGTTTTTTAACGATTTATTTTAAACGTTCCTATGCAAGTGCGAGTAAAATAGTTCTGCGAGTGGGAACGCGTTGGAGCTTATAATTATTGAATCGGAATTTTTCATGAAGTGAGAAATCTATATTTCGCTACATGTTTTCCAGGTATGGTTATAAAGCATTCGTTTTCATTATTAGAAAGAAAATATCATTTGCCTGTTATTGAAGATTGTTTCGTACGTATCAGATGTGCTGCACCCTTTTTACTGGAGATGATATAGCCATCAAATACAATTATCACAACTTTATATTGATAAGCAATATGACTTCTATATAGTTGTAATACATTATGTACTATATTTCGGCAGGTAACACGTAATTTAAAATTGTTGCTTTCATCAAAAGTTTTTGCCAATGATGATTTGTAACTTTTTCTCAATAACTGAATTTCTGAACCAAATAGAGGAGTATAGATAACTGGTAGTTGAAGTTCTCTTCTAATTTTAAAGCATCAGGATTTACAGACAAACACGTCAGCATTCTCTGAGTTAAGAGTTCTTCTGTATTAATATATCGAATAGCTTCATCAATGATTGTCTTTTCTTAATATCTTCATTGTGACACCTTGATTGCCATCTACTTCATCTTATTATACATTCTACTTCTAAGAACTTATTTCCATGTAATTTGTTACCACAAATATCACCCTGCATTTACTTTAGTTTACAGGGCAACATGTTTTCTATTTACATGTATTAGTTTGTAATGTACGTAAATGAATTTATTAAAGGTATTAGAAAGTAAATATTTACCATATACGTTGAAAACTGGTGCCCTTGTAAAATAATCTTGTTTGAATATTTATACAAAACAATGTTGGTACTAAAAAATTGTTTGGTTTCTCTGCCCTATCCCATTAATGCGTTTTTTTTATACGGGTATTTGGGTGCGTCCATTAATTACGTGAGGTGTCCAAGGGGGGAGGGGATCAAGATAAATCTTTCCAAATCTCAATTGGGGGAGAGGGGGTCTTTGTAAATCTATAGAAAACCCTGTAAAATTGCGTGAAATTAAAGTAAAGAATGTTTCTAGAATAAAATATGGCAAAATCTTATATTATATACAGGTCCCCATGGACTGAATTAGAATAAATCTTTTATTAATTTTCGTTTAAGTATTTATTATCACTGTGATTTTAAATTACCGCAATATTCTCAAATACAGTTCATCAAATTTCTAGAGGTGTTCGACGCCCAGACAGAGAACGCGCTACGTGTGACTAAGATAGCTATTGTACAGTCTGCTAAACAAGTTATTTTAAATAGTTTTTAATATTTTTAGGTAATTAAATTTTAAAAGTGTGGAATAGTTTAGGGATTAAATTGGTCTGATTGGACTTTCTTAGAACGTTTTTAAAAGCAGCTAAAGATAGTATGTAGAATTGAAAATAATTATTATGCCATAAAAGGTGTTTTGGAATTCCTTCAACCTTTTGAAATTGAGTCAGAAAATATAAATTTTATAGGATAGCGGAAAATACCTTTAATTTTTTTGTAGGCCTTTGTAAATCGTGGAAATAGTTTATATTTTATTTCTACCTTATTAAGGAAAATGGTACCTATTATTAATAACGGTTGTTTCTGAAACATTACTAAAATTTTCGAAATTTTGTTTTTCTACAAAATAATAAACTATACTATTTAGAAAAAAAATTATTTCTCTTATAATTTTATAAAAAATAACAGGGGAATATTTACATTTCTTGATCTATTAAACAAAACGATAAATTATCTCGACGAATGACACCATGTTCTAGTACGGAAGCTAGCTTTACATTTTTGTTGGTGGTTTCATGGGTTTCATATCAATTTTTTGTAATTGTAGTTTACACGTACATATACCTCTTAACACTTGTTTGCTTTATTAAAAAAGTGTGTTGTTGTGATGTACGTCGAAATAAGTCAAAAACAACTTGAAACCCCATATAAAATCAAAAAAGAGAAACGGAAAAAAATTGAACCTGTAAATGAACACAACTCAGAAACAAAAATAGCTATCTAATAATAAAAAAATAAAATTTGATTCTTGTGCAGCTTCATCTATATCATTAACTGTTTTTGGTTTTTTAATGGTTTTTCTTGGTGATGAAAATTCCGATATCTCACGGTTATCGATTCTTTTTTTCTCTCCAGAAATGCGGACGACAGTGTTTTTAGATACTCCTGTGGCTGCAGCAACACGATCATTTACATTTTTAAATGGTATTGAAGCTGAATTAAAGTTTCCTTCTCTTCTCATAAACTTTATAACATTGGCTATTATTTCGCGAGATTGACTGTTAATCACGCGGCCTCTTAATTTGCTATTAAACTCCATACTTAGGTTCTATTAAACTGTAATGAGCAAAAAACACAAACGAAAATAAAAGAAATGTTTTAGCGAAATTTACATCTGACATTTACGTCTGAATGAAATAGTGAAATACTTGATGCGCAGAGTGTACTTTCATTGCGTAAATCCGTCGGGACGCCTGTCAGTAGTGCTTTCTCTGTCTAGCCGTCGAAAGCCTCTAGAAATTTGATGAACTGTACTTTGCTAGTCTAAAATATAAGTAATAGAACATATTGTGTTTCTGTTTTTTTACGTAATTAATGGACGCTCCCTTTTTAATTCGAACTTCTTGATTTATTTTATAAATATTAAAAAAGGTGTTTATAACTTTTTAGATAGATCGTGTATTATCTAATGTAATATTTTTTAGGCCCGTAGTTATAAACAGATCTCAGCTGAGTCGGACTTGGCTGAGACGTCCTTGAACGAAAATCGAAGTTCGGTTACAATTTCCCTACAGTTCCAGATGGTTTCGGTGTTACAATGGAATATATCCAATCTTGTTACTCCCCATCACTAAATTCACGCGATATAAACCTAATTACGATTTTCGTTCAAGGACGACTCAGCTTAATTGGAATCACCTGAGATCTGTTTATAAATACGGGCCTTAAACATCGACTTTTCTATTTTTAATTATTATTTATTTTTAATTATTTTTTTGTTTTAGTGCATTACACAATCGTGGTATTTACCTTGTGACTTTCACTACTTTCTGTTAGCTCTACTACTCGTATATCTACTGAAAAAAAATAAGAAAATTGGATTTGTTGGAATTGCCTTATCTTGTACATTAACAATGATCGTTACATTTTATCTTATATATGCTAATGAAAGACCAGCGTTCTTACGATTTTTGTTAAATTTTCTTGCTGGGCCAAAACTTTTCATAGATTTTCAGTTGACTTATATTAAAACGTATACAAGAGGATTACCGTATTTTGTAGGAATATGTGGAGGGTACATTTATTATACCGTCAAAGGAGTCGATTTCAGTATATCAAAGGTAAGGAAAAAAAAATGATCTTTATATAGAAACAAAAATATTCAAAGTTAGTGTGAGTGATGACATTCTTTACATGTTGTTTTATCGATTTCATGAATATTTTTCAGAATTATATTAATAACAGCAACGGTTCAAGTGTAATTGGAAAATAACGATATCGTCGAATTGTGTAGGGGAAATGAAAAAAGCTGAAAGTGCCAAAAAATAAAAAAATCGATTTTTTGCATGGAATGTTTTGTAAGCGACATCGCCAATAACCTAGAGAAGGTTGAAAGTGCCAGAAAAATTCCTATTAGTTCCTAGAGTAGTCGCAAGGAGCAGCACCGTGAAAGCGCCCGCTGACCTTCAGTGGAAAAGGCTGAAAGTAGCATCCGCCATGATGAATGTGCCTTTCCATTGCAGTAGTTGCTTTTGGCGCGTGCGAATAATAAGTGTTGCGTAGTTCCTGCGTTTTCGCGTACTGCGAATAGTTTGTGCACTTTTGCTGTTATAGTGTGTGTTTTGTGAAAAGTTTACATTTGCTGTGATTTCAAACTAAGTGAAAATCAAACCCCTCCGCCGAAGAAAGTCCATCTTCGAAAAGAAAGGAGGAAAGCACGAGAATAAAGACAGCCTTATACGACTAGTAAACACAGTAAAGGAACAAACGTACCAGGTAAACCTATCACCTTTATGTCGCTACTTGATCTTGCAAGTACTTTTGTAAAAACTTGACTCATGACCAAAAACAGTTACTGTTCATGGATTTTTACAAAGTTAATGAACAAAACCAAGGTACCCACTTACTAGACCATATGCAACTTATACCTGTCGGCCGTAGGCGTAATGGAAATTACGATGACCCAGAGGAAAGTATTCGTTCTTGCAGTTTTACTTAAAATGTGCCAGATGGTTCGGGTAAAAATGTGTAAGTGTGTAATAAAACATTTCGTCAGATTTTCGGAGTAACTCCCAGGAAACTACAAACTTCTTCAAACATAAAAGAAACAGGGTTGCTTGGTTTACAAAGCTACTAGAGGTGAGAATCCACATTCACATGAACATAAAGTTAAGTTCACAGAAAATGATCGAATTCTAGTTCGGCACCACATTAATTCGTTTCCCAGGTATGAAAGCCACTATTCCTGTAAAAGAACAACAAATGAGTTTCTATCCCCGGACCTAAACAAAAACCGTATGTTTTTATCTTTCAAAGCCCAAAATCCAACAACTAAAGTAACTCACAAAAACTATGCTCAAGTTTTTCAACAAGACTTTCCCAAACTAAAATTCAAATGTTTAGCAACAGACACGTGTTTAAAGTCCGAACTCAAGTAGCTGCCAGTGAAAATGCCATAAAAGTAAAGCAGGAGTTACATCATAGAAAAGCAGAAAAAGCACAAGCGTGTATGAAGGAAGACATTGTATCATCACAACTTCCAAGTAGTAATAATAACTTCTTATGTATGGACTTGCAACAAGTTATGTTTGTACCAATGCTTACACATAGTGATATTTTTTACTGTCGGCAGCTCTCATGTTATAACTTGGGAATTCATGTGAGTAACCATGAGTTTGCATATATGTGTATGTGGCACGAAGGAATTGGTAGTCGAGGGGCCAATGAGATATTATTTGGCTTCTTTAAGGTTGTCACTTCTGATGCCTTGTTAACAAGAAGAAGGTTAGTTTTATGGTGTGACAACTGTGGAGCACAAAACAAGAACCAGTCCCTCCTAATGGCAGTAATTTACTTGGTAAAAAAAGGGTTCTATCGCTCAATAGATTTAAAGTACTTGGTTAGTGGACATAGTTACATGTACTGCGACCGGGCAGTCTCATTGAAAAGCGGCGCAAAACATGCAAAGCAATGGTCCCAAAAGATCTTAAACATGTTGTTGCTACTGCGTGTGTAAAAAACCCCTTTACTGTTGTTTCGATGAAATTTGAGGATTTTATCGACTCCAAAGAGCTTGCTAAGAAGTACCTCAACACTTAAAACGTTGGAATCAGTAAAATTTCACATTTTCGTATTTCGCACAAGAATCCTGGTATTGTAAAAGTAGCATCAGTTTTGGCAAAGGAAAGTGATAATATGGTAACTTGGGACAAGGTAGATGTTTTAAAGAAAAATGCAAATCTTGAAGACCTTCCCGATGTGGACGAGTTACCAAAAATTCAGTTCAAATGCAAGATACCTCAAGAAAAGAAAAAGGATCTAGAGGGAATAATAGAGTACCTGGAGAAAGAAGAAGACAAGTAATTCTATAGGGCCATTGTTAATGGACCTCAGCAGCCTGCGGTGGAGGAGCAAGAAGAAGACGACAATCAGGAGGAAGCAGAAGATGACTTCTAGAGGACTACTAGAAGGAGAAGGTGGGGGATAGGAGAGAAGGAGACAATATGATATTTAAACTATAAGTTTATTTTTTGTAATACTTATTTGTATTTTTTTAAACCACTATGAACGTTCATCCTTTACGTGTAATGAGCGCTGGACTTCCAGCCTTTTAACTAACAGGGTGTGGCAAATAAGATATGATGGCACTTTCAGCATTTCACATGCAAAATCAAGTTTTACATGTACAATAAAAAAAAAACAACTTTTAAAAAACAAATAAAAATATATTTTGCATTTTCAATGAATTTTATAGATTTTTAAAGGTACAGTCCAAGTTTTATGAAGTTTTTATTAAATACTGAAAATTTTACTTTATGGTACTTTCAGCCTTTTTCATTTCCATTACACAATTTTTCTACTTGACGATGGAGTTTCTACTTTTCAAATTTAGTAACGTCGTTCATTGCTGCTAGTTTTATAAAATGTTTTAAATAAAGGATTTTAATAGTTTATTTAAAATTATTAAACATTTGTTTTTTTATTTCTCATACAACAGTAAAATATGAAAATAAATTGGAGATCGTCAAAATTTAAAGATTCATCCACAAAACATATTTCTAAAGTAGGCCATGACTGACAAAAACAAATAATATTTTGAATCACACGGTATATTGTAAATAAAACAAAGAAAAAGATTTTAAGATGGTAACTAACTGGATACCTATTCAGTAACTTATGAGAGTGCTGTTACATTTTTAAAGATGCATGAATTTTATTATTTCAACTGTAGACTTGAAACTTACACATTCATTATTCAAAAAACCCCGCACTTTCCTTATGTAAAGTTGCGACCTGTCAAATTTTCTGAAATTTTGGTATGTTATTGTACTTAACCTAGTAACCAAAAGTGTCATTAATCTCAACTCAAGCATATGACTAGTTTTCGATATATAGGGTGTTAAAGTTGAAAATTGTCTAGTTTTTTGGAATGTTTATTTTCAAAACTTACGAGCTAGATTGAATTTATGTTGCATACACACGTTCACTATATGTTTTACTACTACATTAGTCCGTTTGTACAATTAAAAATATTTTTATTTACAGGGTGATTCACAAATGTATGACGGTAGTTTTTTAAAAAATTTCACCAATTCAGGGAAGCATATTTTTAAAAAATACTGCACAATATGGTATTTTGGCGAAAAAGTAAATTAACACATTTTAACAGCCTATCTAATACTTTTACCACCATTAATGAAGTGTCAATTTTAAATACAGACAATCTAGCTTTTTAGTTTGAAGAAAAAATAACTTAAATCAGCAATTCTCCACTTTGACGCCCTGTATCTTGAAAATTGGTCATAGTATCGGATTTAAAATTAATACCTTTTGCAACGATGTTAAAATTATTATTTACTGAGAAAATGGTTACATTTTAAAATATGTGGTTATAGTACTTTTATTAAAATAGAATAAAATCCAAGAAAAAAGACGCTTTGTATAATTTGAAACTTAAAGGTACTCATATTATAGTAGTATTATCTTTCCCAAAAATCAAAATCATAAGTACAGGGTTTTGAATTAATTATGAAATAGAAAGGACTAAATTTGTGAATCACCCTGTAATTAAAAATATTTAAATTTATACGAAAGTAATAATTAGTAAAACATGTATTAAAGGTTTTTATGTAACAGAAATTCAATCTAGCTCATGAGCTGGAAAATAAAAATTCCATCCAAATACGATAATTATCGTACATCTGGCAACAGTGGCAACACTGATCTCACCGTTCACATGAAGCTTTATAAATATTTTAGGTGAGTGACATGCGCAGCAAGGAAAAATTGTTAGAGAGTACGCCTACACGAATACTCCCACAGTTACTGAATATGGGTCCTGACAAAGGAAACTTTGGGAATACTTATTTAAAACATATAATAAAATTAAATAATAAATTGTATTTGAAATGTAAACTAAAAAACACCAATTTTTATTTCAGTTTCGCTCTACGATACTTTTATTCTCCTCCTATGGTTTATTATGTTTTCTTCTTTTTACTGGAATTATATTCTATGATCCATATCACCAATACAACGTTCTAGAATCATCTTTCTACGGAACAACTTTTAGATTTCTTTGGGCAATAGGCACCTTTGGATTTATATATGCTATAAGTTTTGGACCACATGGAATTATTTATAATTTTTTGTCATGGATTGTATTTATTCCACTTAGCAAATTATCGTATGGAGCCTATTTGTGCCACATGGGTTTTCAATTACGTGATATAGCGTCTACAGTCAATCCCAGAAAATTTGTTATGTTTGACGTGGTAAGTAATAAATTAAGTAAAGATTTCTTTGAATGACTACATATAGGAAATCTATATTATGCTTTAGTTAGTAGTATTTTTAAGGTATATGTCGTAGTCCTTTAGTAAAATTAAAGATCATTAAGATCCTAGTCACATCATGAAGCGTCGGCATATTGTGTAAAATCATAAAGCTACAATCTGCCGAGGCTTTTCGTTAAGAGACCACTTTCTTTCGGCGTATAATGTCGTAACATGATCTGACTAAATTTAGATATCGGCACTTTGTAAAGTAACGATTTCAAGTCGTTTGATAACTTTCTTAGTCGGTATGTTACCATGGACGAGTCATGTGTCATGGGTGCACCACTATGATCCCAAGACCAAAGCGCAAAGTAAAGAGTGGAAACATCACGGTTCTCTTCCTCCATGCAAATGAAAGGTTTTGCTCTCTCTGTTCTGGGATGCTCAAGGAATCATCCTGACTATTTGCAAAAGGGACAGAGCATTACAAGGGCCTATTACACACAATTGATTTCTAATTTGCGAGACGTTCTTAAAGAGAAACGCTGAGGAAAGGATAATTCTCCCAGCCATACATCTTGTATTGCAATGACTCAATGACTGCTATACACCAAGCAGGCTTTTAATTAGTGGAGGCCCACCATATTCGCCAGCTGTCGCCCCCAGCAATTATGAACTGATGCAAGATGTAAAGAGGTGTTTTGCAGAGGTCGGACAAATTTGTTTCAAGGAGGCTGTTGAGATGGTAGACTTGTTAGAGCACCGATGGACCAAGTGCATTAGTGTAGAGAGAGTCTACGTCGAAAAATAAAAAAAATCCACTGTAGTTTTACTGTAAGTGGGTCAACATAGGGATCCACCCTCGTACATTGTTTGGCACTTTTTCATAACCTGTATGTATACGAATCTTTTTGAGAATTGGTTATAGAGGATTATCATAGGCTGAATAAAAAAAAAAAACTATTGAGGTTATTAGTTATTAAACAACAGTATAGTGTTGCCTTATTTTAAGAACCTTTCAAAATAAAAGGCGAGACATTGCTAACATACTCTGTTGATACCTTCTATAAGGAAGAAATTAGTGTCAACTGAAAGTGAATTGCAGAAATAATGGCTGATTGGGGCAGTGGTCCAACTTAGCATGTTTACTTTTGTGTATCAATATCTGCATTTAACCAGGTCCGCACGCATATTCTGATACCGCCGACACGTTAGATGCTCGGATCAGTTCAGTATCGAAAATAACAATAACAGCCTCGTAAAATCTCGACGTGTTAAACTAATACGTCCGCGATTTACGAATACGAGTCAGTAAAATAGGTAAATTTGTTTAATCAAAGTAAATACATTGAAATTAGTGTCGCATACATAGTTTTTTGTACCTCAGGGACTAAAACATGCATTTTACTCCTTCATTTTAGGGACTGAAGTGCCATTTTTACTACCTGGGGCTAAAATATTTTAGTGTATACCTACTTGATTTACATATAATGTGTTACCTATATTCAAGAAACTGTTACTCGTTCATGTTACAGGACCTCGCTCTGCTCGTCCCGCAAATATTCACTCGTTACATAAAACAAGGCATTTCGCAACTGGTTTTATAAATAGCTATTATAACTTTTATTTTTAATGTAAAGAAAATTTTATGTACCTAAATACTGATTGAAACTGACTTTTTGACTTATTTCTTCCCAATCCCACATTATTTTTAACACACGTAGCCAATTCTATTTTCAATTAGTTTTCTTCCACTGCACATTGCCTCTTTTCCACCAATAGATGTAGGTTGTACTGTTTCAAAAAGGTTGGTCATAAATTATACCACATATTCTTGGGTCAAAAATAGGTCGATTGAACCGTACTTACCTATATACAAAAGTGCACCCAAAAATAGTTACAGGGTTTATAAGATAAAAATTTAAATGAATTTTTTAACGTTGCTCTTAAACCGCTTAGCATTTTTTCATGAAATTTTATGTGACGTGTTAGAATACCATGACTAATAATACCGAGGAAAACGCAATATTTTTTTCTTGATTTTTGGAGGGGGTCACTGCTCTTTTCTCGACTCAACTTTTTTGTAGTATAAAATTTAATTACAAATGACACGCCACTGGAATGCAACATCCATTTGGAAACTTTTTTGTCTCTTAGTATTTGTTTGTAAAAAGTTTAGTTTAGACGATATAGTCATTTGAAATGACAACCTAAAAGTATGTAAATTCTACGTATGTAAAATATCAAAATCAAGTTTATTTTTAAATTACAAACTAATATCAAAATAAAAAAATTTAATTTAACAGGTGTTCAAAATTACATTCTCCTCCTGTATACACTTACTACATAGTTTTAACAATAAAAATCGAATTTTGATATTTTTGCATACGTATAATTTACATTGAATATTTTTAAGATGTCATTTTAGGTGGCTGTATCGTCTAAACCAAACATTTTACAAACAAATACTAAGAGGTAAAAAATCTTCCAAATATATGTTGCATTTGCATTTCAGTAGCGTTCGATTTTTAATAAAAAAGTTGAGTAGAGAAAGGGGCGGTGACACCCTCCAAAATCCTACAAAAATAAAAAAAAATATATTGTCTCTACCTCGATTTTGTTAGTCATGGTATTCCAACACGTCATATAAAATTTCATGAAAAAATGTCAAACTGTTTAAGAGCAACATTAAAAAAATTCATTTACATTTTTATATAACTGTTTTTGGGTGCACTTTTGTATATAGGTAAGTACGGTTTAATCGACCTATTTTTGACCCAAGAATACGTGGTATAATTTATGACCAATTTTTTTGAAACACCCTGTACAATATTTTTTGCTTTCATTTGACATTTCGTTCAATTGAACCATAACAGAAGGGGAATCGACTGATTAAGCGCATATCAAAAGAGGCTGCGTTATACGTGTGCGTACGTGGGGATTATTCAGCTGCATGATGTTTTCAATTATGACATGCTCCTAGCTAGCGAGTTTCGTTTCAATTAGGCATTCCAACGACCTGTTAAACAATAGGTGCCAGTGGGAAGTTATCGTATATCTAAGGGGGTAGCGACATAGTATTGCATCTTGGACGCTATTTTTATTCGAAATAGTAGTCGCCAAGCCTGTCAATTTATGAAGAAATGTATAAGCTGGTTTTTTAAATATTATTTTTATTGCGTTTGACATATAACATTTAAATGTAATACATTATTCATGATGTTACGTATAGTAGATAAAATACATCGTATGTCGCAACTATAAAGACTAGTCGCAACCCTTAAATATACCAAACCTTCCCATTGGCAATTCATTTGTTTGAAATGCCTAATTCCGTTTCAATAACCCCCTATTTTATATGGGCGGTTATAAGAAAATATGATGTATATATTTAAATTTAATAAATGTTTATTTTGTTGTAGTTCTTGCAGTGGATCGGAGATACCGTTTGGGCATATATGTTTTCATTTTTATTATATTTAATGATAGAAGAACCAATGAAGAACATTTTTAAAACAATATTATTCAAGAATAGAGGGAATAAAAGTAATTCAAATTTACCTGCTGAAGTAGATATTAAATTGGAGAATAATAAATTGTAAGGAAGATGACAACTATAAAAGCAGTACAAATTGGTGGTGGGAGGGGTTTTCCGGTTTTTCTCACTGTACGTCAAAATGTACCATCAATCGTCTGTAAGTCGCCCCGGAGCGCCACATTAAATAATAATAATAATAGTCGTCCCTTCCCCGTCAGTCATCTTCTGTGGATTTAGATTCACTCGTAAGAGGGTGAATTATAGGGAGAATATTATTATTAATTATAGAAATTAATTACTATGAAGATAGGTTATGTTTTAAATACTATTTAACTAATCTACAGATAGTATTAAATTTTTTTTATATTTCGTTGTTTTATTTCAAATTAACATAATAATAGGTGGCCATTATTAGGCATTCCAAACAAAAAACTGTCGGTGTCACATAATATTTCGGGTCTCATCGTCGATATCTATATCCAAGAAATGTTATTTTTCGAAATATGCTTTATTTTTGTAAAATTTTGTGAATTTTCTTGTAATTTAATACACACTCGAGTGCGTCATGTTTCAAAGATACCTGTGTAGAATAAATAGTTGTTCTTTGGCGATATCTTGGTTACTCGCGATGAAAACAACATAAAGGTACCATTTCGGAAGGCGCGACAGGCGACAACAGACGCGATGGCAAAGGCGACCCAGGACGGCCTCTTCACACATGCAATTATATGAAACGCATTTCGCACGGCGCTACACGTCCGAGAGACAAATGTCGACGACACATTAGATCGGTCTCGGGGTAGAGCGTTTGCTGCCTGTCGCACCCACTCCTCACTGTCACTGCTCAGTCAACGCTTGTATTTCGAGGTGATTAGTCGATATTTAATAGAAATGGTAGTTGGAAAGTTCTCTCGATCTAGGCAGTGTTGCCAGATGAACATTTTCTGGAACAGTATGGGTGAAAAAAAAAAAACCGTAGATCTGAACAGTAGATTTTAATACAGGGGGAAATAATTATAATTTGCAATGTGGTAAATAAAAAAAACAAGTATATAAGAAACGGAACATAAACATTTTTTTACTCAAATTAGAAAGTAAACAAAGAATAAAAACAAATAACATTATTAATGTATATTTAACGCACGGAAACAAAAAAGAAACCAATAAAAAATAATAGGTACCTACTTCTCTTATCAGTCTGAATCAGATAATTCAAATACGTTGTGTTTGGCATGCATGTTCTTTTTATGATACCCTATTTATTCTTTGTTGCATTTTAAATAAAAACATAATGATTATCGTGAGGTTTTTTTTTATTGAGCAAACCTACAGTAGTGGATGCTTATTACGCTGCTTTTGCTTTAGCAAATTTACTAGAGAATATATTCTTTGACCATTTGCTGAAGAATGAGGCAAACTTAATAAATTAAGAACAAAATTTGTTAAGTTGATGAAAACAGTAGATTTCATGCCTAAAACAGAAGAACAGAGACAAAAACAGTGGATCTACTTAAAAACAGTAGGTCTGGCAACACTGATCGTTCCCTCAAATTATGGTCTGTGGGTGTCGTGTCACCTGTCTCCTTGCTTCCCAAATGTATGAAACATAACGTTAATGCATCTGTCGTCTTTGCCGTCGCCTGTTGTCGTCTGTCGCGCCTTCCGAAATGGTACCTTAATCGTTGAAATTTAGAGCTACACGTAAAAACTACTGAATAGCTTTTACCAGATTAAAATCTGATTTCAGAAGTATTCATTGCGAGATTTTATGTGACACATCCTGGATATGATTAAATAATTTATTTATTTAAACAGTTTATTTTAATTTATATATACAGTGACATAAATGTTTACTCAAATACTACACTAATTTATAATATATAACTATCTTGACAGGCTCACAGCGATATCTCAGCTTGAACTAACTCTGTGACACGTCTTCTAACTTTCCTCCGAGAAGAACAACCACAGAGAAGGGACAAAGCCGTTCCATCAAAAAAAAAAAAAAAAAAAACAAAAAATTGAATGTCATTTCAATTTCAATGCGCTTGTCACATATGAAGGATAAGGGGGAAAAACGTAAAATGTCACAAAACTGACTTACTGAGAAAATTTACTAAGTTTATAAATAATATTATGGAAATCTTAAGTTACAGTCGTAGAAATAAATAAAACTGCACCTTAATATTTTTAACGTAATTTACTACTGTATAGTTAACTTGTTACGAAAGAATTTAAACGTGAGATTATTATATTTAGGTTAAAAAAAATAAACTTGCCAAATAAATGATTCCTACTTTAAAACTAACCTAAAATAAAGAGATTTTCACCTGTACAACAATGTTTCATAAAATTTAAAATTCGTATTTGTACTTGCAAATCATTGAATTTAACCCGGACAACGTCTTGTTGCAGTAGTTCGTGGACAACATCCGATTTTAACCAATATGGTTATTTTTAAATGGCTTATTATTCGGACCTCGTTTAATTTATTCGCTTACAATTATTAAGCGTTTGGGACTCGGTATTACCAACATAACAAGTTCATTACTTTTAAAATTCCTATAAAATGAACATCGTTAGCTTTTCCCCTTAGCCTTCATATAGTCTAGTTCACAAGTGTCATTTTGTCATAAACCTAGGCTGGACCAACGAAAAATTATGATTTTATCTCGTTCGATTCGAAATGGCATCTAAAACAAACCATCAAGTGAACAATAATAGGGGCCGATAAAAATTGCAAAAGTTATAAACAATAAAGTAAAAAAAAGAATGGTTTGGTATTATGAAAATATTTCAAAAACTATTTAAAAATATCCTTAAAAAGAAGAACATTTCCTAAGTCCTACTTTCCCGAACTGTACCGACAATATTCATAATTTCAATAAAAAAAAGTGTAACGGGTGCGTCAACCGAATCAGAAGTTTGTTAAAAAAATATTTTAACCGATTAAATATAAATATTGAGGAATAAAATCTAAACACACGAATAAATAATCCGTCAAAAAATTTTTTATCCCAATTTTTTTAATTAACTATGCTCTTGTTAATTAGTTAATTTTTACCAGTTAAAGTTAATATAAAAACGCTGATTATTTCTAAACTAAAATCCTAGATTTTTTTACTTTTTTAAGCCATTCTTAAAAGGGGTTTGAAAAATTCCACGTTGGAAAAATTCACAAATTTTGATTTTTCCCTTTTTTATTAACAAAGGCATTAAAAAATGAATAATGTAAATAAAGCAATCAGAAAATATTTTGTTCGACTATTTTTATTATTTTGTTTTCTTATGGCTAAAAGCTATATAGCAATATTTTAAAAAAAATTTAAAATAAATGTTATAAACAAATGAATGCATTGTTAATAAGATTTTTTAATTTTTTTTTCTGAAAATTTAATCCCTGATGAAAATAATAATTTTTAGGAAAAAATTGTGTTTTAAAAAAGTTTTTAATAATAAAAAACGCACTTGTTAGTTTTTTTGTTACTAATTATTAATATTAAGGAACCGTTTTTTTAAAATAATTATTTATCACATTCTTTCATATTATAAAAAAATGATTAACACTTCATTTGTTTATTAAACAAGCAACTTGTTATAAACAAATAAATTTTTGCGCAATATTTTTAGTGAATACTAAAAATTATGGAAACAAAAATACGTCTCTTTTATATGAAATTTTTTTTTTTTTCGTTTTTTTTTTTATAATTTTTAAACATATTGTACTCTTGGACTTGTCGCTTTCTTTCTGTTTTTCTTTATTGTTATTAAAATTAAGTTGAAAATAAAGAAAAAAGTCTGGAAGTGTTCTTGTCGTATATTCAATAGTTTAGAAGTAATTTTAATGTTTAAAAATTATAAAAAAATAGAAAAAAAATTCATATAAAAAAAGACGTATGGTTGTTATATTGCTCAAAAATTCATTTGTTTATAATAAATTGTTTCGTTGAAAAGTTAATAATATGAAAGAACACAATAAATAATTTTAAAAAAAATGTTCCTTAATATTAATATTTAGTAACAAAAACGAAATTGTTAATTAACAAGTGCGTTTTCTGTCAATAAAATTTTTTTTTAAGAAACGATTTTTTTCTTAAAAATCATTTATTTCACCAGGGATTAAATTCACAAAAAAATGTTTTCAAAAATCTCATTAACAATGCATTTGTTTATAACAATTATTTTAATAATGAAAGTTAAAAATTTTAAAAAATGATTGTTATATAGCTTTCAGCAAACAGAAATCGAAATAATAACAATAAATGAAAAAAGAATTACTGATTGCTTTATTTACATTATTAATTTTTGAATGCCTTTAAAGTGAAAAATCAAAATTTCTGAATATTTCCAACGGGGGTCTTTGTGAGATCACTGTAGTAGTAATAACATTCACCACAAGTTCTTGGTGTCTACATATTCATTATTAATTTTTCACTTATTTACTTTGCAGTTGTCTTTCTTATATTGTTTTTGTTTAATAATTATTTCTTTAAATATTCTTCGAATAAAGTGAATCAAGCCTACGAACAATTCTTCTTCTTTTCGAGTGTCCCTTTGAATTTATAAAAACGTAATTATCACGAATATGATGCTTATCTCTTGCTTTGTCGACCATGGCTCAGTTTTTATTACCAATACTGAAAATATAAATGATCAGTAGAAAATAAAACATTTTTATTTGTTTATACATATTGACAATTACAAACTATAAAAAATATAAACTAGTAAACAGTCAAAACATACCGAGCGACCATATTTAAAACTGACATCTTCAATACTTTCTAGTCATCGTATTCCATTTCTTCCTCTTCCTCTTCTTCTCCTTCTCCGAGTTCTTCACCAATTACTGGTAATTCTTCTTGTGGTTTCGGTAGATGATCAACGCGCCATTTTTCCTCCTCAGCTCCAGTTGGATCAGCTATTTCCATAATTTCTGCTCCAGTGGGATATTCCTGTTGTACTGGTGGTAGTGGCATAGGAGAAAAATTGTGCTCCATGTATTTTAAACCAAAACCTAAAATGCATAATTCAATTTAACTAGATTCTTTTGTTCAAATGCAATTAACTAAATTCTAAATAAAAAGTAAAGAAGTAAAGATTTGCTCGTTCAAAAATAACAGTGACAACGAAACTATATTTCTTGAAATTTCTATTGATTGATTATTTATTTTTATTAAAGTAGATTGAACCCAAAATAAATAAAGTGCTCAACAAGTCGAAAGGGCAAAACTTTGCACACAATGGGTCTATAACTTCCAAGAACACTGAATATGTAGCATATTACATATCTTTTATTAGATCGGTTTAATTACTACCCCATGCCTACAGGCTTGTTTGATGACAGTTTCATGTCATATATATACAGTGTGTCTACTTAAGTTGGAACCATAAGGAAAACATTTTTATTATTGATTTTAGGAAAAAAAGTTATTCTTGAATGTAATATTCAATTCTAATCAACTTTTCTTAATGAAAATTTTCGATTTTGTAATAAAATAAACGTACTTTACTCTTGAGCAAAATTCATATTTTTTGACAAACCTCGTATACGGCTTGAAAAATTTGATATCTGATGACTGTATTTTAAGTTTTGGGTCATGCAGGACTTTTTATCAAGAATAACTTTTTTTCCTAAAATCAATAATAAAAATGTTTTCCATATGGTTCCAACTTAAGTAGACACACTGTATAAAATAATTTATTTTACAAAACAAACTATTTTGTCTAGCAGCTTTGGTTAAGTTTGAAATAAACATGGATATCTATATTACGCAAGAGCACAATTGCAAACTTGCATAACATAAATTTTATTATTAAACATTATAAAATAAAATGGTTATTTTTTTAAATCGTACCCAAATAAATATTTTGAAAAAGTTTTCCTTGAGTTGAAAAGCAATAGGCACCAGGCCATAAGTTAGATCTAACTACAGCAATAGCAAAATCATCCATTATGTTGGAAGAACACCTTACACTCCAAGGTGGTACTGCCTCCACGGCTGCATCTTCGGAGAGTGGAGTGAGCAGAGGAGGGCCTGTTTCAGGTTCTATCGAGAGTCTACCTTTCTTAAGGTCATAATCATCTACTTCTTCCTCTTCCGCTTCTCCTAACTTTGATTCTTCATCTGCGCCTTCTCCGAGACCCTCGGGCAATGGATATGGATTCCACCAAGTGGTTCGTCCTAGAATAACAAAAACAATTATTTACACTTCACAATAAGTGTTTGAATAGAAAAAATCAAACATCGGTATGTTTTATTTACAAATATTTATTTTAAAACATACTTGGTTCCCACACTTAATATAATTTTAGTTCATTTGCAGTTCGCTTTATCCCTTTAAGCTAGCTTAAAAAATAGGTAATTTAAAATATTATTATTGCAACTAGCTGTATTTTAAGCATACAACTTAAAACTGATTGTAATAATATTCTTTTTCTACTGCTTCAATTTAGGCAGTATACATTACATAAACTAACTATGCTCTGCATTATATTATTAATTTTAGATGTGCTGTTTTGTTTCATTCAGTTCGATAATACCCAAAGTGGTCTATATCGACTCCCAGGGGGTAGGCGATGATCTACAAGGGATCCATGTGAGCGAAAAACTAATTTAGAGGCCTGTGAGATGTACCGGGGTCCACGATAGTCGATCTCATTTAAGCAGGTGGTCGCAACTTTAATTTTGACTTTCCATCAATGGAATAACCCATACACAATAGTAGTTTGTGCAACAAGAGTGGATATCATTGCCATATCGCACGAAGACGAAATTTGAGCACGACGCCGTAGACGGAGTGCTCAATAGTCTGAGTGCGATGTGAACAATCCACTAGAGTTTTACAGTATATTTTTTTTACGACGCCGAGCGACAAAATTGACAACTTTGTTGCTCGCCTGATTTAAATTAGCTATATAATAATAATAATATTTATTTTTAATAAATGATTTTCGAGTTATTTGTACGTAGTTATATGTTTTTTTCTTATACTATCCAAGTTAACATATACTTTGAATATCAAATGCTATTTTCATGATTAACGTAGGTATAGGCAACACATTATACACTACTTACGACAATTTTTCAGTTTTTATATCCATTTTTTAAAAAAGTGTGATAGTAGAAAAAATCTTGTGTGCATTTTGAACGAAAAGTTTGTTGCCACTTTCGACAGATTGTCGCGCTTCGCGTGGGCAACTTTCTGTCTCAAGCGGCAAAGTATCACTTTTTGCTCTTAATACACAAATAACTATTTTCAATATTTTATTTATAATTATATATTTATTTTTTAAGATAGGTCCAAACTGAATAAGTATGTTACTTACTTACTTTTAGCAATTTGGTACAAAATTTAGACTACACATCTACACAACACGACCGTTTCCAGTAAACAGACTCGAGTACTCGAGTTTTAAAACACGCTTCCGAGCGGGAATCGAGAAACAAAACTCCAACTGTCGCAAAACACGCCAGACTTAAAAAGTTTGCGAAAAGTTGTAGTTTTTGTTTTGTCCGTTAAGTGGAAAACCGCCATTAAAAACTACCGGATACCTACCCTACATATTATTTCTGTTGAAAAGACAGAACTTAATTATTTGTCAGATAGTAACTCTCGGATAATAGATCCATTAGTTAGTTATCTGAAACTTTATCTGAAGAAATCCTAAAAAATTCATGTAAACCATTTTAATTTATTTGGTATATTGCACTCACCTTGAGGTAGGATGAAGGGAGTATGATGAACCCAAAACGACATAGAAGGGTCCAATAAATCTTTTAGAGGAGGCGGTTCATATTTGGAATTTTTTATGAATGCTGTTTTTGATGGCTCCGGTACTTCTTCAGCTTCTTCCTCTGCCTCTTCGTCACCCGCCCCTTCTCCTAGTTCTTCTTCTCCAAACGTGAAGTAACCAAGCGGAGATATTTGTGTTCCTGCAATTTAGGTATTTGTTTTTATTGTTTTAATATTGTTTTGAACTATCTCAGAAGACATTGTATATTCGTTACAGTTTTGGTATATACATTTTTTCAGAGAATTACCTATTTAGAAAGTTTGACTGAGTAGTCAAAAACGAAGAATAAGCAGATCTTATATTCCTGAAGATATATATTCACAGCTTCCAAGGGTTAAATGGGACAGGTTAAACCAAACATTCCTTAGTTCAAAAGAACTATCATGCGGTTATAATCACAGAGCAAGGGGTTTTAAACAAAATTAAGAGTGCCAACGTTGAAGAATGTTGATAACTTCTTAGGTCTTTTTTTTATAGCGTTGAAAACGGCCACAGAAATTGTTTTTGGATGCTTTCTCATTATCAAAAACAAAACTAGGATAATTGTTTAGGGTGTTATAGCTAATTTCTTCGATCGGATGAATGAATTTTTTTTTGTTAATTCTTGCAATACATTTGAAAATCACAGCATTTTTGAATGGAAACAGAAGAAACCTTTAAAATCAGTTATCACAAGTTTCTACTTCCTATCTGAAAATTTAAGGTCAATGTCGCCTAAAGTGAGATGAAGGTAGGGGTGAAATTTTCTCGTTGGAGGAGATGTCATTTTATAATCCAAAATTGATATGTTTCGGAATTTTTTTAAAAATATGCACAGTAATTGAGCTACTCAATTTATTCTGTTCACACTGTATATGTATCCCATAGGTTTCTGGCCAGCTAATAACTAGCGTAATATCAAATCAAGCTCTTTTTAAACCACTTCTAATAAACTACCCCTAACATCAATTTTTAAGCTGTAATGGTCCAAATTGTAAAAAATTGGAATTACTGGATTCCCAAATTTAATTCACGTTTTTAAGTGGCGATTTGATAAAGGATTGACGTGAACCCTTTAAAAAAGTTACTGAATAAACAGCATAAGAAACAATGATGACGTCATTGTCATTTTAATACCTCCTATATAGAAAAATTTCAGATTTTAGCATTGGAATTTTCTATATAATATATCCAACAAAAAATACCTCGTATTTGTATAATATTCTATATACTACAAAATAATTCATGTTATTCTTCGACTGCAGGTTTTTGTAACGCCCTGTTTGATACAATTTTGCTATTTTACATACATTTTTAAATTCTTTTTATAGGAGATATTAATAATACTACGATAAGCTCATATATAGGTGAACAATAATAAGTGGACTTTACAACACCTAAACATTATCTTACAAACCGGAAGTGATTCTTGCAATTTGAGCCCGTAAATATTCTTTTTCTTTTCCGGGAAATTCAGGATATGTCAAGACGGGTTCTTCTAAATTTCCCGTAAACGACTTGTAAACTTGTCGACATGTTCTGATTTGTTTTGGAGTAACGTCTGGAAGTTGACACCAAGGCTCTTCAATGCCGGTACTGACGTAATAAACCTAAAGATATTTTTTATCATAAAATACCCAATTATATGTAGAAGTATTAAATTTTAAAGTAGACATGTGAAGCAGTTATTGGTGAAATAAACATTTGTTATTAATTGTGCTAACCAAATTGTGGTTCAATTAAACTTTAAATATTACAAGGGGCGCTATAATAAAAATGTTTTGAAACCACTTCTATACGAAGATTCTGAAGATGGTCAAACGCGCTTAACAGAATTTGTGACCAACTTCTATACAGGGTGTCCCGAAATTAGACGGTCATATTTTAACAGCGTAATCTACATCGTAAAATAGGAGTAAAAGTTCATATAAACATAGGTCCGAAAACGTTTCGTTTTCGAGATACAGGGTGTTACAAGTGAAGTCCTGATGGCACATTTTTGTAAATATTTTTTAAAATTTCTTTAGTCACCGGTTTTCCACAGTTAAAAAAAATAAAATTTCTGACTCCTCAGGCCTACTAATTGTTTTCTTTCGTATAAGATAACATTTTCAAATGCCATTCTCTTGAAAATAGTGCGTCCTAGTGAGATGCAACAAAAGTAGCTTTATTATAAAGAAAACATTGGTTTTCCAAATTTTATAGTGAAAAATGTTAAAAACTGTCAAGAAAAAAATCTTAGGGCAATTTTACTCTAAGCCCCCCTAATTTACCCACCTATGAAGATGATCAAAAACTAAGGTTTAGTCCATTAAACAGAACGTAAAAATATAAGCATTTGTACCAAATTTCACTTAGAAGTTTAGAAAATATAAAAGTGTGTCATCTGGACTTCACTTTTAACACCCTGTATCTCGGAAAAGAAAAGTTTTCGGACCTATGTTTATATGAACTTTTACTCCCATTTTAGGATGTAGATTAAGGTGTTAAAATATGATCGTTTAATTTCGGGACATCCTGTATACAACGCTCTTTCTTTCTACATAATTTGTTAAGTATGTACACATTACAGTAGTCTTTTTATTAATTACCATTCTGTTCAAACCAACTCCGGATGGTTCCGATGGAGGTTCAGGAAGTTCTTCATATAATGATTTTGGTTCAGGAGGTAGCTGTCGTGGATATTTAGAACCTTCACCGCCAAATTGTTGTACTCTAGCTATTTCATCTAATGCCTTTCTAATTCTGTTTTCTTCTAATAATTCTTCATTTTCTTCGTCATGGTGTTTAACTTCATCCAGTTGTAGTAGTTGGTATGTCTATACAAATAACATGCTTTAGGTAGTTTTGTTTACTTAATCATCAGATTTATCGAATGGACAATATTAATTGGTACTCAGTTAAAATTTAAAAATGTTTGATATGTTGTAGAATTTAACTTTCTGAATCAAAGCATCCATGCCCTCAACTCCATTTTACGACTATTGCTTAATATACGTGATGTTGAAGTTGGAAAATGGTTATTTTTATTGTTCTGTTACCAATTTGACAAAAAGAAATACACAAAACAGTTATAGTAAGTAATTTCCCAAAAATGGGTGTTAACTAAAAAAAGTAAAAGTAAATTTTTTATCTCGTAATCAGCTTAAAAGCTTTTAAGCATGATTTAAAAAATGTATATTACGTTCGATGACACTTTTTCGAAAAAAGGACCAAAAATTGCTTTCTCCTTTACTTATTTGCTAAACAACCACAAAGGGCATATCAAGTCACCATAAATTCCAAAAATTAAACAGAAAAAGACATACAATCAGTTGATGACTGGGAAAACCGAAAAACAGCAATGAAAATCAACCAAAACAAACTAGTTCATTCACTGATACCATACTTAAACAAATTTTGGAGAAACTGGGCAACATGAATGAACGAATATCCAAACTAGAATATCGTGATCAATGAGTTATTCCTAAAGTTAGATGTGACTAATAATATTAGATTCTTAGAATGGAATGCTAATGGACTACTAGAGTACCAACAAGAGCTATAAACAGTACCAGATTTAGAACAAATGATGTGTATCTTATCTCTGAACCACATCAAATTTGAAGGGTACAGAGTATATCATATAATACATCCAGATAATACAAAAAGAGGAGAAAGTGCCGTTATAATAAAGAAATCTATAAATAATTACCAACCAAACATCTTATGCAAGCAACATCAGGTTAATGTAAAAACTAAAACATATGATATAAGATTCACAGCAATATACTGTCCACCAATATATAACATTAAAAAGGAACAATATAAATAATTTATAGAAACACAAGGACCTAGATTTATCATTGGAGGAAATTTCAACGCAAAAAACACTCAATGGGGCTAACAACTAAAGAACTTTTACTAGAATGCAATCAATATAAATGCGAAACAATATCAACAGAAAAACTTACATTTTGGCCGACAGATACTGGAAAAATTCCTGATCTTTTAGACTTATTTATAGTCTGAAATACATCAATGAACTACATGTTAATAGATGAATATCATAGAATACGTATTCTCTATAAAACATTTTGCGTAGAATTTAATGGCGAACATTTTTGGTTCTATACATGTTTTTACGTTTGAACAACGGTTTATAAAAAAAATGAGAAAAATCGGCACAACCTACCATTCTATGGTATTTTTTTTGAAAATAAGGGATGTTGCGGACATCAACTACATGGAAACTTTTTGGGAATTTCTTCTTACCCTTATTAGGAACATTATTTACGTTATATGAAAACTTTATGAATTATTTATTCTAAAAAATTTTATTTACGTGTAGTATTAATAACAAAATTGCTATTGGCTACCTCCTATAATCGATTATTGGTGTATACTTACATACCTCGTTTCTTTTAATATATTCTTCATTCTTGAGTTCACATTCTACAATATTGTAATTTTTGAGCGTTCCAAATATTCTTCCCCAGAACCTAAAATATAAAATAGGTACCTAACTAAATACTTCTTCGCAGAATAAGGAGATGATCTTGACGTCAGAGTTCAGTTTTATGATTGACGTTGTACGTAATGTATACTTTATACAATATAAAAACCAATGCAAGTCATCTATGACGTATTTTCTCTACTGCAGTAATACCAACAAATGAAATATTACGATTTGAAGGTATGATTGAACACTAGTTGAATTGGTGTGCGTATTTTTTTTAGAAATCAACAGTTCTTAATTTATATTCTAGCATATCATGACGATAAATATTAATTTACTTCTTATTCCTATTTAGTTGCAGTGAATAGTCCAGTAACTACGTGAATTTACCTGGAAAAATTTGAGGAAGTATTGATATTTTGTGTATCTACGTATTTTGAGCTGCTTTTTCCGAATTTTTATTTTGCCACATCGTATCTTTGCTGCTGTCGCCGCCATTTTGCAATAAATGGCAAAAAAAAGAGATTTTTCAAGATATCTCATTACTCGTTGCTTATACTGTAAAGATAAAAATGTAGTAATTTAAACTACATAATTTTCTCTGCAAACTTGGTCCTTAATATTTTTTTCATAAAACCAACGGTTTTCGCGTACGAGAATTACAAAGTTGAGCAAGTAAGCAGCATACAAAAAAATGCGAATTTTATTCATTGAGCCTACGTATCATCAGGTACAATAATGGTATGGTAACGAAAAACCTGCAGATCAATGGGGTTCGAAGAAGAATAAAAATGGTCTTGTTCCTTTGACTGCACTCCAAGATCCTGCTTCAGAAGTTCTTCTTCGACTCATTTCTTGTAAATGCAAAAGATGATGTCGGGGAGCATGTGGGTGTAGAAAAGCAGGGCTCAGCTGTTCTATAATTTGCTCAAACTGTGACAATAAATGTGATAGCATGCCTCAAGTTTTGCAAAATAGTGATGAAGACGAAGACAGTGATACAATTTTAGAACCACTGGTTAATGAAATTGCCGAAAGTACAAAGGAATCTACTGCGGATGCAGAAAGTGCAGAAATAATTATCTACTGCGGCAGTGATCCTTCACGACTAAAACGTTATTGCTATCAACTAGCAGAAACATAGACGAAGCTGGTCCCTTAGGGATACCAAAGCAAAAAAAAAAGTGTAATGTTCATTTAGGAACCAATATGTGGATTAGGCCTACTGGGGAAACCACAGAAAAAAACGCGCCCTATGCCCTACCTCAAGGTGGTGTGAAAATGGGCATAACATTTCACTGGGCGTTAAGTATTGACCTTCTTTGGTCTTTTATCCAAAATGGGCTGGTTTTATAGACAAAACCATTAGAACCAAATTTATAAAGAAAATTATACACTTTAATTTATTATAAAGCCATTTTTGCTGTAAAATCAACGAGTACCAAGATATCTTCAAAAAACTCTTTTTTCATAATTTATTACAATATGGTGGCGACAGCGGCAAAGTTACGAGATGGTAAAATAAAAAATCGAAAAGAGCAATTAAAAATACATAAAATCGAAAAATATCAAAACTTCCGCAAATTTTTTCAGCTAAAGGCAATATACAGCAACGTAATTACTGGAATAAAAATTGTTTTTATCATCTTTATTATGGTTAAATCACGTTATTTTTTAATTTTTTAACATTGAATTCCTACGCCTATGAGTTTTCAACTGTATAGTGACAGCTAAGTTTATAATAAAGTTGGTATTTTTTTTAATGAACTCTCATTTTAAGTTCAATGTTCTCATATATTTATTGTGTCTTGTAATTGCAATTTGTTGATATTTTGAGTTATTTATTATTTTTGGTTATTTCGTTATTACTTTTGGTCGTTTCGTTATTATTTTTGGTTATTTGGTCATTATTTTTAGTTATAAAAACTGTTCTGTTAAGAACAACCAGATTGTCATCCTCGCAGGTTAAAAATGTCAAAGAAATTAAATAGCCGATGTAAGGAGCTCATAGCTTAATTGACACAGTCACTATTCTGAACAAGAACGCGATAACAATGGTCCTTTACTACCTTTAACTGCTCTTAGAGAAGTAAGTTTTTACTGATATTGTCTAGAAACATCAAACTAATCTCATTTTTTAGAGTGTATCAGCCGCACTTAACTTAAATTTGTCTACTAATTCACTGCTCGAACACTAAAAATAGACTGCGCATGTCTTATTCAGTTGCCAACGGTTACAAACTGCTGGTCGAACAAACCTAATAGTATAGACGACAATAGTGCTTTTCGTCGTCTGACTTACATATGGATGAGCGATCTATATAACTATATCATTATATCTTTCCCTTTTAGTACACAAGCGCCATTCTGTTGGTTACTTTCTGAAACCTTATTTACTGTTTTTGAGATAAACACTCCATAGTTGTATTGGAAAAGTTTGAGTTTGAAAAATAAATTGAGTTCACCAGAAACCAGAACATTACGTTGTATTGGTTTACACATATTTTTATTTATAATTTAATTTAGTGTGTAATATACTGCTTCTGGTCTGAATATGCAATTAGAAAATAATGGAACGTATAATGTAATTACATAGAGTTATTCTAAATAAATTAAACTTAAGAACGTTGTCACATAAAACAATTGACGTTTTCAATTTTTCAACATTTATCAACAACAGGAAATATGCCCAACCTTGTAAAAAGATACACTACTTGGTAAATGAAAAAGGTAAATAAAAATTATTTATCAATCGGTCTTTTTTCTATAGCAAATAATACATTTGTCATACTTGAGTAATCCAATTCAAGGAAAGTCTTGAAAATATGAAGTTTTCTTATTTTAGGAACTTTGGTTTCAATGATTGATTACATAATTGTTCAAAAATTATATGCCTTGAAAATAGCTACTCAGCTGTATCATTAATTATTACACAAAAAACAAATTGATATTAGCCTATTGTTTATAATGAGGAAGTATTTATTGATAGGAAATAGTTTGAAAATAGATGAAAACTATATATTACAGAAGTTTTCTTCGAAAAGTTACACAAATTAAACAAATATAATGGCCTACTCCAAGGAAACTCCAAATGTTCAGTTCTTTTTTATTTTTACGATATATTTATACACTATCATCTTTATATAATTATATAATAACTAAACTATAAACTTTTTAAAGTCGTAGAGTAGGCTATTGCATCTTTTAGTTCCATTTTACTGTTGGAAATATTCAAATATCAGTTCCCACCACGGGTTTGGTTAATAAAAAAATTTGTATGAATTAATTTAAAATTTGAAATTGGTATTTTCTGCGTATCAGGTATTTTATGCGTTGTATTACAGGGTAAACTAAAAAACAATGTATTATTGTTGCCTTTATTTAAATAATGTTGAAATAGTAACAGTATCTGGACGGAGAGAAGGTAAAACGAAAATATCCTAACGATCTCAAATTAATAGATATTAAAAATTACTCCTCAGACGAGTTCAAAAGTAGGTAAAAGGAATTTTGACTAAGAATTCAGGAGTTGAACAGAGATATTTTACGAAGTTAAGAAGACGTTAAAACAATTATTAGAATATTTGCGTTTGTGTGATAAAGTAAAAAGTAATTCATAATAATAATACTCCACTAAAAATATGTATCTGGGGAAAAATGGCCATATTGAAAACAAGTTTTTTATTCGAATGTGTCAAAAAAGTCGTTTTTCGGACATAAAACATAGGTGAAAGTAAAACTTTTGTATACAGGGTGGGCCACTTAAAAGTTCCACCCCCCCCTTATTCTCGTTATTCATTGAGATATCGGAATAATTTTTGTTTTGTTTAAAACAATGGAACAAATACTTTCTTATAAAGGATTCAATTATTCTGTGACGTCACGGCTTACCGGAAGTAACAGAAAATCGCAATTTATTTTTTATTTTTAAATTGAAACCCACTTTTTTATTGTAAATTTGAATATCTGGGACATTTTTGTATGATAATCGTGTATTGAATTTTTTCTGGCAGCTGTCAAAATGGCCGCCACATTGGATAATATTTTTTCTAAACATGTTACTATTAATTCGTTTTTGGAAAAAATTTAGGAATGTATGATCTTTATAAAATCTTTGAGGGCTTCAAAATTCCCATTGAGACCCATTTTCCGTATACCAGTGGCGTATTTAAGCATTTTTATTATTAGCAAACCGTTTAATAATTCCATCCTCTTTTATCTTCGTTGTTAATTAAGATATCGGAATAAAACTTTTTTGTTTAAAAGATAGATACTTTTATATACTGGATCCAATTAGTCTGTGACGTCATGGCTTACTTCCGATTTTTCCGGATATAACTGAAAATCGCCATTTATTTTTTAATCTAAAATCAAAACCCCTCTTTTATTGAAAATTTGAATTTCTGGGACATTTTTTGGATAAAAAGCGTATATTAAAATTTTTCTGTCAGCTGTCAAAATGGCCGCCATACTGGATAATATTTGTTCTAAACATGTTACTATTAAAAAATATGGGAATGTATGATCTTTATAAAATCATTGTAAGCTTCAAATTTTCTATTGAGACTCACTTACAGTACACCAGTGGCGTATCTAAGCATTTTTATTATTAGCAAACCGTTTAATAATTCCACCCGCTCTTATCTTCCCTATTAATTGAGATATCAGAATAAAAACTTTTTTGTTTGAAAGCTTGGAATAAATAAATACTGTCAAATACTTCATTCAACTGGTGGAAAATAACAGTAAATCGCAATTTATTTTTAATTTTTAAATGGAAACTCACTTTTTTATTGAAAATTTTAATTTCTTGAGCGTATCAATGTTAATTTATTATTGTATGGCAGGTCTTATATTATCATATTAATTTTTTAAAGCTTTCTGATAAAATTAGGCTACTTTAAAATTTAAAATAAAAATGAACATTTTTTAAATTTAAAGATCTGTTGCGTGTCGTAATAATTTATTTTTCTACTACTGTGCGTTAAGTACGCACGTTACGCACACCACGGAGTGCATAAAGTTTTACTTTTCTCACTAGTGCGTAAAGTAACATTTTTTACGCACTAGTGCGTAAACAAGACACAATTTTTAGTATTTTGACATGACAAATGACACATTTTATTTCAAATTTTCTTTACGCGCTAGAGCGTAAAGTAAAACAGTTTACGCACTAATGAGTAAAGTAAACAATCTTGGTACGGTAGTAGAAATATTGTATGCAATTCGTATGTAAAGCCCTTTTTTGAAGGCCACTTTATACACTTATTATTGTATGTATAAATAACTATTTGATTTATCAGTAGTTGACTGATGTAGTGGTTACAAGCGCTGAAATCGTATAAATTTAATTCAATGACAGATACGCTTAAGAAATAACAAAAATCTTAGATACGCCACCGGTATACTATAAATGGGTCTCAACGGAAACTAAGAAGCTTAACAAAGATTTTATACATTCACATATTTTTTTCCATAAACGAACGAACAGCAACATAATAAAAAAAATATTCTCCAATATGACGGTCATTTTGATAGCTGAAAGTAATCCATGATGTAACCGACCAATTAAATCAATTAAATGACTAATTGTTTTAAGATTTTAAACAAAAAAGTTTTCGTTCCAATATCTCAATTAACAACGAAGATAAAAGCGGATGGAATTGTTAAAACGGTTTGCTAATAATGAAAATGCTTAGATACGCCACTGGTGTATTGTAAGTGGATCTCAATAGGAATTTTAAAGCTTACAATGATTTTATAAAAATCATACAATCCCATATTTTTTTCCATAAACGAATTAATAGTAACATGTTTAGAAAACATATTATCCAATATGGCTGTCATTTTGACAGCTTACAGAAATATTTCAATACACGCTTCTTATCCAAAAATGTCCCAAACATTCAACTTTTCAATAAAAAACGGGTTTTGATTTTAAAATCAAAAATAAATTGCGATTTTCAGTTATATCCGGAAAAAAAGGAAAAAAGCCAAGACGTCATAGACCGATTAGATCCAGTATATGAAAGTATTTGTTATAAGATTTTAAACAAAAAAGTTTTCATTCCGATATCTCAATTAACAGGAAGATAAAAGCGGATGGAATTATTAAACGGTTTGCTATTAATGAAAATGCTTAGATACGCCACTGGTATACAATGGAAATTTAAAGATTAAAGAGACATCCCTATATTTTTTTCCATAAACGAATTAATAGTAACTTGTTTAGAAAAAATATTATCCAATATGGCGGCCATTTTGACAGCTGACAGAAAATTTTAAATACACGATCATTATACAAAAATGTCCCAGAAATTCAAATTTACAATAAAAAAAGTGGGTTTCAATTTAAAAATAAAAAATAAATTGCGATTTTCTGTTATTTCCAGAAAAACCGGAAGTAAGCCATGACGTCCCAGAATGATTGTATCCGTCATAAGAAAGTATTTATTCCAGTATTTCAAACAAAAAAAAATATTCCGATATCTCAATGAATAACGAAAATAAGGGGGGATGGAACTTTTAAGTGGCTCACCCTGTATACTTCATAAAGTACTTTATCGGTCATGGCCTCTAAAGTTAAGTGTATAAAGTGTTACCATTTTTGATTTTATTGAAATCAAATTCAAATTCGCCAAATTTGCCGCATCTCTAATTTCTGGGTGCGTATCCGTAATGAATTCTTCGTCTCTACTCATTGTTGTAATTTTTTTTAATAAACTGGGTAATGAAATTAATTTGACATGAGCACAGTGACACGACAAAAATTGTTCAATTGTTCTCTTAGCCAACTCAGTTAAGGAAAAATTATTGGGAATATTTCATTTTTAATTTTCTATATATTTTTAAACATCTAAGGCACATTCGAATAAATAACAATGTACGAAACACGGACGAAAAGTGTTTTTTTCGGACTCCTACGATTTCTCGTAGTCAACTTTTCGTTAACACAATAGTAGTTTATGATACCAACACTAATACATATATTATACATTAAAACTGATATTTTCATATAGATTAGCGTGAGTTATTGAGACCGCCATATTTTCGGATATGAGATTATTACATAATTTTACAGTAAGAATTCGCTGTATGAATTTTTCCTTCAATTCTGAATACGCAAAAATTGCCCGTATTAGTTTTAGGTTCTTCTTTCTGATGTGTCTTTGACTCGTGCATGGATGCATTCCTAAACTAATTACTGCGCATGTCAGTCCGTTTATTTGTCCGTTTTTTAATCAGCGACTTGTACTTGTTGGAACGCAAAATACAATGGAATTGAAAAACCAAACACATGTTTGGTGAATAAGTATTTTATACATTATTTAAAATACAACAAAATATATTTATTTAGCTGTCTCGAGCGATCTATGTGAATGTATAATTTTGAAACCTTAAGATGTTTATTTTTATTAAAAATAAGTACATAAAAAACTGTACACAAGATAAAACAAAAAATATTCATTTCAATTGAAATCCCAACAATTACAAACAAATAGCACGAACGAGAAGAGACGTTCAAATGCGCATGTGCTGATAAATTGTACAAGCAACGAAGCTCTTATTGTTTTGACAATCCGCCGACTCATTCACGTACGAATCAGAAAATACGTTGGAACTTTTACTGACAGTCCATCAGATTATCAGTGGCCTTGTAGAACGGACAATTTTCAATGCGCATGCGTCTGACGTCCATCTGATAATGAATTTAGATGTTGAAATAAGCCTTATACTTATTTGATAAGGCATAGAATGGGAAACATGCCTGGACAGGGATTCTTATGTGCGTACTCAACACGTATTGCATTGACAGATGAGAATCCCAATGCTGAATACGAGAACATACCTAATTGAAGAGATGGGCTCTTTGTAAATTAATTTCCTCATCGAAAGCATTATGTAGAACATTTCTGGTCTTGGTAGTCCTAGACCACAATGCTCAAAGTAATAAAGAAGCTGTAACATATTATTTTGAGACATATCAGCAACTTCCAAATCTGCAGGATCGACAGTTGATGGCTCACCAGGTGGCAGGGGCTAAAATGAAAAATAAAATGGCTACAGTTACAATAGTGAAATGATGTCTTCGCATTTTAAACAGCTACTGAATATACTTTTTCTACACTAACTGTAATTCAGCGTATAGAGTATGTCCCAGCTTTTAGTTTACAGGCTCTAACTATTTTCTTGAACATAGCAAAATTAAAGTAACAGTAACTATAATGCGCAAAGTCTACAAAATGCCGTTCTTTGATGTTGTCTTGCAAGGTAATTTTAAGGTAATTTTAAGGTAATTTTAAGGTAATTTTAAGGTAATTTTAAGGTAATTTTAAGGTAATTTTAAGGTAATTTTAAGGTAATTTTAAGGTAATTTTAAGGTAATTTTAAGGTAATTTTAAGGTAATTTTAAGGTAATTTTAAGGTAATTTTAAGGTAATTTTAAGGTAATTTTAAGGTAATTTAAAGGTAATTTAAAGGTAATTTTAAGGTAATTAATTTTAAGGTAATTTTAAGGTAATTTTAAGGTAATTTTAAGGTAATTTTAAGGTAATTTTAAGGTAATTTTAAGGTAATTTTAAGGTAATTTTAAGGTAATTTTAAGGTAATTTTAAGGTAATTTTAAGGTAATTTTAAGGTAATTTTAAGGTAATTTTAAGGTAATTTTAAGGTAATTTTAAGGTAATTGTAAGGTCAATTTTGTTTAAATTAGTGTACTCATTAGAAAAATTAGTATCTTTTGTCTAATCCATTTCTCCTTTTTTTCTCTATGTTTTGAAATAATTAATAACAAAAATTTTAAATGCAAGATTTACTTCAAATATTGAAAAATGATAGGCAAAACACAAATGTAACTGATACATTAAATACAAATTATTAATTTAACACATGTTTAAACCATGCGCCACCAGTCTACACACAAGCCTTCATACGGCGAATTATATATCTATTACTTGACCAAATTAGCATTTATCTGATTATTGTTTTGGCAACCTAGACGAATTAGCTCTCAAATAATGCACACTTAATATACAAAATGAAAAGCATATTAAGGAAATTTTGAGAAGATATATGAAAATAGTTCACGAAAATGCTGAAGACTACTATGAAGGATGTATTTTGGGTAAACAGCATAGGTTGCCATTTAAAGAACGATGTCTCTACTTACGAAGGCAGGTGATCCGAAAATTTATTGTTAAAACAAAGTCTGAGGTAGTACTGTAACGAGAGTCTAATTTATTTTTAGTTTATTTATTTAAAAATACACTACAATTTATTTCAGACGTACTAATTAATTTATATAATACTTGGGCACTAACTAACTAATTTATTTATTACACTTTAACTTTTCATTACAATGTTCTATACTAAACTGTGCGCCGATGAGTCGGCTATTTATACCAAGCCAATTCTGTGCTCGTCGTTTCTGGGCGCTCCCGAAAATTCCATCTCTATGACTCAACGGCAGTTTCTCGAAGCGTCAGCGGCATACCTAGAAGATTTTGTCGTTTCTTGTATATTCGAGACGCGGTCCGACTGTTTTCACACGTCAGTGTTGCTTCGATCATGAATCGAGTGGCAGACTTCCAAGGTCGCGCCTACAAAGGGTAGGCTTTAGGAATTTCATGACAGTACATTGTCTTCAAACCTTTTTAAAACAAGCAGAGACACAAACAAAAGAATTAGAGAGATCCTGAGTGATGGAGGATAATAATTTGGTAATGCAGAGGTAAAAGCAGTTCTTGAATCCATTTTAGGACTCTTGTAGAATGCGTAAGAATCATGTTACACACCAAGAAGTTGCCTATCAAACTCTGGGCTAAGAGTATAAATACAGCTGCATATTATGTTCTTAACAGAACAGGACCAACACCAGTAACGAACAAATCTCCAGAAAAGCTGTGGCAAGGTAAAATTGCATACTTGCAAACATTTGGAACCAGATGTTTTGTACATGTACCTAAACAGTTTGGAAAAAAGCTTGACAAGAAAAGTGTAGGAGGTTTTCTTGTTAGATACTGTGGTGACAAAGGCGGTAACAGGGTTTGGTTGCCAGAAGAAGATAAGGTAATTAACAGTAGAGATGTAATTTTTATACAGGAAAACATTGTAGAGAAGAGGGTAATGGATAACATTTTGGAAGAAAATACTAATGAAAATGAGAAAAAAAGTGATACAGTAACAAAATAATATGAGTGAGTCCAAATCCAAGATTCATGTTTTGGACAATAGTGAACACCACCATTACAACCTTCGTAGTAAGAATCAACTTTTAACTTGTATTGATGACTATTTACTTTTTGCCGAGTGTAAAGCTCCTAACTCTTATACTGCAACAATTCAGTCTATTAAAAAAGAACAGTGGAAAACAGTAATGAAAGAAGAAATGGTTTCTTTGGCTGAAAATGATACCTGGGTTACTTCGCCAGATAATAAACGGTTGGTTCAAAGTAAATGGGTATTTAAAAAAAAACGCTACAAAGCTAGATTGGTAGTAAAAGGTTATAGCCAAAAATTTGGAATAGATTTTGATGAAATCTTTAGTCCTGTAAGCAAGGTATGATACAGTAAGAACAGTACTTAGTGTAGCTATATCTGAACATCTAAAACTGCTACAAATCGGAGGAAGTTCTAAGTTCTTCAAACATTCGACCAACTTTGTATATAGATAATACTAGTACAATAAAGTTAATAAGAAACCCGCTCAAAGCACATCTAGATGAGATACCACTTTAATCGAGAAAATTACCAGGAAGATCTTTAACATACAGCATATTAATAGTTCAAATCAGGTTGCTGATTTGATGACAACTGCCATTCCAACGGAAATATTTTTTGAAATGAGAAAAATGTTAGGGCTAGTTACCCTGAAATAATAAAATTGATTTAGTGTTAATTTTGGGAGAAAATGTTGAAATTGCAAAATTACATTATTTGATTTATATTATTATTTCAGTCAGTTAGATTTTTTAATAAAAACTTTGTATTTCCTGTTGTAATTATTCATCGGTTTCTTCGGTTACTACCCTAGATCTGAAACCATTGCATGATTCACCGAGAAGCTTTATCATCAAAATCACCAAGTCCGTGGCTAAATATTGTCCTGTTAGTATACCTTTTAAAAATAACCCCTAATATTTTTTAACGGTACTTCCGTATAAGTTTTAAGTTGATGTAATTGAAACAGATCACAGTCTGTTAAGGTGATTACAGCACCCCCTTATAATTTTCGGACAAGGATATCTCAAAAAGTAATTTTTTTAAAAAACTAAAATTTTGGCAAAATATATTAGGCAATAATATATAAAATATGCATATATTTTAAAATTTAAATTTCTTCCAGTTTCCGAGAAAAAAAATCAAAGGGCTTTAAATTTTGAAATATCATAATGAAAATAAATGCATTCCTCAACAGCACTATTCTTAATATAATCCCCAAATTTAAGCTCTTAATCTCTGGTAAATTATTTTTTAAAATTCGCCGAAATTAGTGGCTAAAACGCCTTGATAAGTGCTATTTTCTGGTTTAAACTGGTGTAAATCGTTGCAAGAAACGAATAATGACTCAGAGTGTACGATACGATAGTTACAGACGCGTTACACTAGAAAAAAGCACTTAACGAGGCGTTTTAGCCACTAATTTCGGCGAATTTTAAAAAATCATTAACAAGAGATTAAGAGCTTAAATTTGGGGATTATATTAGGAATAGTGCTGTTGAGGAATGGATTTATTTTCATTATGATATTTCAAAATTTAACGCCCTTGGATTTTTTTCTCGGAAACTGAAAAGAATTAAAACTTTAAAAAATACGCATATTCTAGATATTATTGCCTAATTTATTTTGCCCAAATTTAAATTTTCTAAAAAAATTACTTTTTGAGATATCCTTGAGCCAAAATTATAAGGGGGTGCTGTAATCACCTTAAAGTTTATTAGCTTCATAAATTTTAATGCAACCTGCTGTTCAACAAGAGCGATTATAGTTAAAAAAAATTTAAAAAATGTAATTATATTTACTTTCAATTAAAAATGTTCAGCAATAAATTTAAATTTTCTTGTAAATTTTCTTTGATTAGAACAGCATATCAAAAATAATTCGACGCTTACCTTTAACATTGGTATGATTGTATTCGCTAACGCAAAACTCGAAGGAGGTATATAAATATCTTCGAGATGATCGGTTTGTGGTTTATATCGTTTCTCTTTTATTCTTCTGCTGTACTCTTCGAAGAAATCGATAACATTTAACGGTCTTTCAGCTAATATTTTATTTAAAGTTTCACATAAGTGATCATACCTTAAAAATAAATTAGTATAAACGTTTTTTAATATTTCCCCTGCACGATGAAAATAAATGTTATTGGACATATCTATTTTTGGGCAAATTACTAAAATAAATTTGAAGGATGCTAAATATTAGAATTGATACTCCAAGGACAAACTCACAGCATAAAAGAAACAAGAAGCGATTTGATTTTGAACGAAAGACTGACAGGTAAAAATCATTAAGACGTTGAATTTTTAGATTTGTGGAGCAATGCTATTACTTAGTCTTGCTTTTTAAGAACTATCTCATGTCGTCTGTTTTATTAGCGTTTGCAAATTGTTTTAAACATATTTGGGCTCTTCACACTTTAAGCCTGCTCATGGTAAAATATTTGGACCACTAAGTTCAAGATCAAGGAACAGATATCTTGAATAGAAAATAGAAAGCCATTTAGCAAATTTGCCACCAAAGCGAAAATACACCAAGAAAGAACTCGAAATCGGTCCCTGGTTTTCATATCGGTTCTACCTATTACGCATCTTTGATTCCATTTAACATCTTCTGCATATTTTATTAGTTTGAGATCCCAATGTGGTAAATATTGGGAAGACTCTATTTCCTTAAAAATACGATTTTTTTTAAAAAATTACATTTTAGGCTTTAGGAAGAAAATTACTTTTCAAATATGCCACCGAAAACCTCATACATTGTTTTTGAATTTTATATATTTAGGGATATATTAAGGAATCATTATTTATGTAAACTTATTTATTATAATTATATCTGTCCGGTGGTATATTTGAAAAGTACCCTCCTTCTTAAAGCCTAAAATGTAAGTTTTGTAAAAAAAATTGTATTTTTCAGAAAAGGGCGTCTGCAAAATATTTATTTTATCAAAACAACCATTTATTTTGTTGGTACGATATACTTACAAATTATCCCCTGTATTAGTACTTGCTAATTGCAAGAACATTTTAGCATTCATAAATTCGGATTCATAGGCAGGTATTTGGGTGTCAGAAACCATCTTACGTTCCTCGGCATCTTGTATATCGTAATCTCCAATCATTTTGAGTATTATTATGTATTATTTAAAAGCAATAGAGTCAAAATACGAAATTACAGTTTTTTTATAATTTTTGACAATTAGTTGTCACGAAAGCAATCTAGATATCAAGCAGAGTTTCAAGAATTAAAGGTAGTTATCCAGAATAATAATAGACTTTTACAGATATTAAAAATGGTGTTTATTGCACCTAGCTTTTATATAGTTTTATGTTTAGGAACCGAAAAGTTTACATTGGGCCGATTTCTATGCACTCGACGCTTAAGCACTGTTGTGATACGTGAGCATGGTGGGCATGTACCTATATTGGTTTCCTTTATAAAAGAAGTTATATTTCTATCAATACATTTTTTTAATTAATACTTTGTTATGAATTAAAAAATATACAATTAAAAATTAATTATTCAAATTATGTAAGTAAATAAAATTAATGAAGCAGAAATCTGCATTTTATTTTATTAATAATCACTTAATTGTGTCCGATTGAGCTTAGACAAATCAGAATATTATTTATATCGTGCATGACAATCAACTTGAACTGAAATCCTTTGTCAAGGATATGAAGGACAGATCACCTTCACGTATTATATAAAAGCTTTTTCTAACTGCAATTTTTCTTTATTTCTATTGTTCCGGTAATAACTTTTATATAATTATTGAACAAATGCTGCCGCGCGATGCTTGAATATAGATTAACGGTTTTTTCGTCGATTCTATTTTGTTTTGGCCAATATGTGTCCGGTTTTGGTGAAAATGATGCTCTCCAAATTTTTCCACCCCTTCCTGTGTCAGTGTCTAAGAGTTCAAATGCCGTGTGTAAAGAACATAGTGATTTATATTTGGATAACTTAAAAAATTTTACATTGTGGGCGCATGAAAGTGAGTAAAACTTTATTTTCATCTACTTTCCCCCCAAAATAGAAATTATATTCCTTAAATAATTAAAAAAAGACAGTTTTATTAATGTTATAATTGTTTATGAATTGCGTTTTATTTATCAGTAATTAATGACCGTGGACTTAAGGGTAGGTGTAATTAAGTAAAAATACCGCACTGTTATGTCAATGGACGTGTTTATTAAATTTTTCATTTATACAAAATTTTATTACTCAAATATTTTTTAATTTATTTTATTAATATAGATACACTTAACCAAACTTATATGGAATCACCCAGTATATCAGGAGAACATTTTTTCATTAATACCTAAAATCACTTGCACATAAAAAGGATTTGTTTTTATTTACCATTATTTTTCGTAGTGCTGATTTTATTATTTAGAAGTAACATCTCAGATTTTGTTTATTAAAAAATTTATTTTTTGGAATTATTAGATGATAATAATAATACTAATAATAATAATACTCTCCCTAATTCACCCCCTTACGAGTGAATTTCAACCCCTGAAGTCGACTGAACGACTTGTGTAGGGGAAGGGACGGCTATTATTATTATTATTTGCCGTGGCGCTCCGGGGCGACTTAAAGATGATTGATGGTGCCATTTGACTTACAGGTAAGGAAAACCCGGAAAACCTCACCCACCATCATAAGAATAATTGCTTTAGTAGAATAGGGTATGCCCAAAGAATTATTGCCCGTACTGTGTGTGTTTCATAAGAGGATGTTTTATAAGGGGTTGTTTCAAAAACCTATTCAAGATTCTTACAATTATGGAATCTAAAAAACATAAACAAGTCGCCGAAGAGTTATTACCGAACAGTAAGACCAATTTTTAGCTCAAATAGCTAGAATAAAACCAATAGTAACTTATCCAGAACTTCAAAAACAACTTCTACAAGAGACAGTTATAAGTATATCAATGGAAACGATTAGAAAACGACTTCGTGCCAGTAAATTGTTTAGTAGGAGATAATTATATCGATTAATTTGGTGTTTGGAGCAAAACTTAACGATATATATAAATGGCAAAACGTCTTATTTTCGTATGAATCAGTGAAAGACAAGCCAGGCTTAAAACTGCCCGACCTTTCAAAATAATAAGTAGGAATGTGGGAATGGTGATGATAAAGCTGGCAAATTAGTAGTTTTTAATTGGGTTAAAGGAATAGATGACATTGAAAAAGTTTATAAACTGGCCCAAAATGCTACAGACTTAGGCACCATAACACAATACCTTTGTACAGTGGATGATATTAAAGTCGTTATGGCTAAGCTATAAAAAACAGAATGGATTAATCAACATAGAAATCATACTAAGGATCAATATTACACATTATTATTACAAATTAATTAAAATTAACAGGGTTTTATTAAAAAAAATGCAGCTCACAAAAGAAATGAGATTATGGAATGAATCAAAAAACAAAATGGTTAGAATACATCTGAGATTACAGCAAACAGTATGTAAACAAAATTATTTGCCTCAATTTTGCTACAAGGTTTTTTGAAGTTGCGACAAAAAACAACATTTTGATTTACCCCTGCATAATATGGCCTAGACGAAAAATGTTCCTTATTAAACTTAAAAATCACAATAAATTTATCTATAAGCTGGTGAAAATTCATAAAAATAGGATAAAACATAAAAAAGTTATAAAAATCAAACTTGGTAAACATTTCAGGGTGACGGAATTTTTTGGCGGGGAGTATATAGAAAACATTTTGATTTGTCATTTGTCAGGAAATGTTTGAATAAATAAAAGTGTTTACATCAAAAATATACGCTTATGAACTATTTAAAACGTGTGCCCAATATACAGCTTGATATACAGGATATCTTCAAAATAAAAAAAAAATTAAATCAAAAAAACCAAAAAATGTAATCTACAGCAAAAGTATGGACCATTAAATAAAAACAACTGTCTTTAATAATTTTTCTTCATATAGGTTCTAGTTTATTAGTAAATTATGCGTAAATATGATCAAAAACTCATTTTAGGAATGCCCTAGACCTAGAGTGAAAAATAAAAGTATAAGAAAGAGTTGATTTTTAAAGATCAGTAACCTTTTGGTTTTGCGTTATGCGTTATGAACATCTTGTATATTGATCACATATATTATTAAGCATAGGTCAAAGTAATTTATTTTCTAATGACCAATCCGAAATTGAATCATTTTGAAGGTCTAGATACAGTTAAATAAGTTTTACAATCTGTTGGCTGCGCTTCCACCCTCCGTAGCAAACCCCGGTCAAATTCAAAGTTCCCACGAATGGTTAAAAATGTCTTGTCCAATGAATATGAAGCCCGGTCTGTATTAAAAAATAAAAAGAAACTACTTGAACACCCCACAATTAAAAACCTTTCAATAATTGTCGATCAAACGTCTGTCCAAGTTCAAGTTATTAAAGATTTACGTGTCGAACTAGAAAACAGAAAGCAAAATCAGGGCCGGTTTTACCTAACATGAGGCCCTAGGCGCCAGACAAATTTGAGGCCCTCTGATAGGCATCTATTTTATAATATTATTACTAAATAAACAATAGAGTTACCGGGGTGTTTCGTGATATATTTTAAATCAAATTTCAGTCACAGCCAAGGGAAAAAAATACTTAAAGATCTTTTTATTTTTTAATACATTTTATTTGACCCTTATAATTATTAAGACGCAAAACATCTGCGTTATGCAAATTAACACCGTAATCTGTCAAAAAAAAAAAAAAAATGATTCCTATCGCGAACGTACGATATTTATTTTTTATTTATTAAATTGAAAACCAATAGTAGTATGAAGTATTCACCAATAGGGCAATTATTACCGTTACCGTATGTTGTGATAATTTTATATCAGATTTTACATTCTATTCTGACATTCTACCAGCAAAGCAAATTGGTACCGATTTTATGCTATCTTAGGTACCACATAGTTAGGAATGTTAGGTATTAATCTAGCTAGAGAATAGAGGACATGTGCCATATATGGAATATGTTTCTTATATGGAATACCCTAAAATTTAATAAACCAAGAGCGGCAACACCGCCACAACATCACCAATACCATGTTACGCCAAGACGAGAGTGCTGGCAGTCATTTATGAACCGTTTAACGTAACTGTTGTTATTTCGCAGTTCGATCGGTTTTTACGCGGCATCGTAAATTATTTAAGGTATGTATTTGAAATTTTGATATACCCAGTTAGAATAAACACAGTAATATCCTATTCTGTCTTGTATGTTTATATAACTTTAGCTTAGGTTTCTTATATTGAAATCTAAGATTAGCATGTTACCACGTAACTTTGGTAAACGAAAAGAAAAATGGCCGGGTGTACCTTATATGGAATAGCACGCTGTTCCTATGTTAGAATATTCCATATTAGGAACACTTCGCTTTTTTTTATAGAATTTCATGAGAAAACTGCAAAAGCTTTCTGTTAAAATAATCCAAATATTAATTCATATCCTTCTTTACAGAAAAATATCATGGGTCGTAAAGAATGGAGAAAACAAGACATGGTTTGTGCAATCGAAGCTGTGCGGAGTCGCGAGATGGGGTACAAAAAAGCCGCAGATACATTTAATGTTCCACGCACGACATTATTCCGTCTTTCAACTAAGTCAAATGCAACACCAGCCCAGGCTGTTGAAACGAAATTAGGAAGATCCGCGGTCTTACCACAAAAGTTAGAAGATCAGTTGGTAGAGTATCTGCTTTTGATGGAAAAAAAGTTTTATGGATTAACACGAAGTGATGTTAAAAGGATGGCATATCAGCTGGCTACCTTAAATAGATTACCAAACCCATTTTCCAAAAATAATTAAAGTGCTGGAAGGAAATGGTTGAATTTATTCCTAAAGCGACACAAAGACAGAATTTCTGTCAGGAAGCCAACTGGGACGTCCATCCATAGAGCTAAAGGCTTTAAGGCCAAGTTCAATTTTGTTTGACATATCATCACGATTTTTTTTAGGTTAGAAAATTGCATTATCGATTTTTTCATTCGAAGTAATAAAAGACGTCACTTTAAATTTCTATCTCTTTGTGTCAACAAATTTGTAACACGATGAATTTATAAAACGTATGTCACTAATGAATATGTGGCGGCAACTGACGGCAACACTGTCAGCTACTCCATGGCTACTAGAGTACATACAGGTCCGGTATAAGCCATGGAAAATAATAAATTAATGTTTTGATCGAGTTAAATAAAATATCAAAATTAAATGTTTATTTTTAAGTAAACGACATTTTTAAATGTATGTATACGTCTCAATCAAAAATAATATAGGCAATACTCAAGTGTATTATACGAGTGTACTGGACAAAAGATAATTTTACCCTTTACTCCAGTTTTTTGTAATGAAACCAACGGTAAAATAGATATTTGTGTACCAAGGCTGTGTTTTGGCCGAATTAGACATATGCGTTCAAGTCTAAGCTAGTTCTGGTTAAGTATAAGAGTAATAGGCAAGAAACGGGTGTTCAATCAAACTTGACATAGAGATAGATGTCACATAAGCAGTTGTACTGAAGATTAACTTTGCAGGACCAAGCATCAGATAGGTATAACACTTGATATTCTGAAAACTATGCATATACTACACTGAATATGAACGAATGGAAGTGTCAGAAGGAGGCTAAAGGCAAAAAATAGACGGAACAGAGCCTAATAGATAGATGTCATATTTTAGCCAGGAGAGAGTCGATGAGTGTTATAAATATAGTTATTTATGAATGTATAATTTCAGTTTATTTTCATTTTTGGTATGAAACTATGGCTGACATAATAAAACTCTTAAAAGTATATATATTTTCAATCTTTATTACTATAAATTATTAAGTATTCATTTATTCTCTCTGACCTAGGGAAAAGGTCAGAAAACCCTGGTCATAATTGTTTACAATGTTGCGTGTTCCTAATGATACAAAACATTACAGAGGAATGATACTTAGCCGATGAAATCTCATCGAGTTCAC